ATCCCAGAAGACTGCTTTCTTCAAAACCTAAAGCGTTCCCGTCAAATCTTTTTGCAGAACAAAGCCTCCAAGATGGAATAAAAATATATTGAATGCAAAGTTGAACGTAAATATTGCAAACTTTACAAAGTTACGTTGAAGGTACAAAAAGAAATTGGTAGCATTCTTTACAATTGTCATACCTCATAGAATATTACATACTGAGGATATTGGGGCGTGATAAAAGTCATCGGCTTGTAGTTTTGTTAGGACACCGAAATCCAACGGCTGCGATGGCATAGGAATACGGTTGGCACTGGAGAAACAAATAATGCTTAAAGATTTTTATTGGGAACGTCTTGAGATACGGCCAGCTGGAAAAGAAACAAGAAAATCAAGATGGGTCTCAGAGGAGTAGGAGGTGGTTAGAACTGACATCGGGTTAAATCGAAAAGCGGGTTTTGAAATTTTGGGTACAGCCTGTTTCTTTAAGATTTTGTGCAAGTTTCTGATTGCAGACACAGAACCCAAGCCTTTATGATGCTTCTGAGTATTCAGTAGCCGGTCATGGTGTTGTAGTGTTTTCTTCTATATGTCAGTTCAGTGAATGTGTGATGACTGTTGCCAGTCCATTGTGTCTTGAAGCGTGATTAAGGGCGAATATTAATAGCCTTGATAGGTCACATGTTTTTTAGCTGCACGCAGTACAGAATGACGGTCCTGTCACAATTACATTCTTTTTATTTGAAATTAACATGATCCCGAGCGATCTGCAACATTGTGTTAGAAATCTACATATCAGTGAAGTGTGAAGCCTTACCGTGATCTTTAGAAAGTTCAGTATTCCCATGCACTTCATAAAATGTATTTTTTTAAGATTTGTATCTTAAAAACAAGATACTTTTTAAGACATTCTAGTAGCCATGATTTTTTTCCCAATTTTTCTGATACGTTTATCATTAACAGGGTACACAACACACACAATTATTTCTTTTAGATCTGAGATTTCTGCGATAACGAAGCCTAATAGCTTAGTGGTTACCAGTATTTTGGAGGAACATACTGTCTCTATCTGAAGGGCAGAGTCACCATGTAGTCTGGCAGGTAGTTAACCTCGTTTCTAATGAGCATACTGCCTCAATCTTCATGACAAGTCCTGCCTTGAAGATGGAGGGAACGTATTCCTGCAAAACGTTGGTCACCACTTACCAGATTACTGATGTCTTAATCTAGAGGACTCCGGTATTTGTAGTGCGTAGGTAATTGAATATAGTGAGCTCATCTGTACCTTAGAATCTGGGTCTAATATGAAAGCGTACTTTCGATTGTCCGTTTAGAAGCTTATAAGTGAACTGTTTTCCTTTAGGCTCGTTTGCAGCCTTTCGGAGCGCTTGTGAAGTCCAATCAGCCCGTTATTTCATCTGTCTGTAAGCATGAAACAACTCTTTGAGAAGTTCTGAATGGATTCTCATGTGAAATTTGACACTGGAATATGTCACGAAAAAACTGTGGAGCCATGTCTGTTTTCATTTAAATCGGATGAATTTAATGACCACTTTACATGAAGAACTACATGGTTCTCGGTTCGCGTCTCGAGCATAACTCACTAAATACTTTTCGAGCGAAACGTATTTCGAACGAACATATGGGAGAAAAATGACACATTCCAAGTTCAGTACACTTTCTTCGAAAGTATTCATCTTTCGGAACGTTGAACGCAATGCTTAAAGGCAAAGTTGTCCGTATACTTAGTTAATCAAGCGTCACGCTAGAAAAATAGGAGGGAGTGGAGGTATTGCTCCACCATTCTTGACCTCAGAGCAAGATGGGAGTGAGTGGTCAGCTTCACGGCCCTGCAGCTATATCCCCCGAGAAAGAGCCCCAGCTACCCATTGGATAGGAGGCAGGATGGGTCACAGAGGCGGTATGGACACTGTGGAGAAAAGAGAAATCTAATGCCCCTGCCTGAAATGGAAGCCGTGCAGCCCGTAGCCCATCACTGTGTCGACTGAGCTATCTTACTTCAACAATTATGATATTACTGTTAATGAACTAGGCCGTGTAGCGTTTCGACCCGCAGATAACAGCTAATTTTTAAATGAGCTGTTAAATTTAACTCATCGTTTTCTGGTTTTCCGTAAGTTTCTTCAACATTTATACCCTTGGGAAAATGTACAGTAAGGCAGTCTCCTCTCTTCACTGATGTTTACAATAATTTCTAACATAGTGTTACTTGCCGAATGGTTTGAAAAGAATACATGTTATTAGGATTATATTTGAGAGTCTTGTCACTCGATCTGATCTTTAAGATGCAGACTGCTGTAACTATCTCGTCAAGATCTGGCACTGGATTTTGGCAGTGATGTTAGAAATTCTGGTTTTCAGTCTCTCACATTTTTATTATTTTTATTGCTGTTTTTAACAACAGGTCTTGATATTAAAGTCAGTAAATTACAATAAACGTTTATTGAGTTATTATACGCTGAATTCCTGCTTTACTAATATGATTCGATTATTCACTGTTAATTTATACTGATTATTTTTTTCGGACAGCTAAAAATATTTTTTGTTTAAATTATTTTAAATACATTAACGAAAAATAGTTCACACATGGGACTCAGAAACTAAATAAAGAAATCAATAATTTGTTACAGAGTACTGCAATCATGTGTAAGTAACAAGAAATCAGTTTACCAAAATTATGTGATGCAAGTATTAAACCTCAAGAAAGCATTTTATTTTAATTGTAGCTAGTTTTATGGCAAAAATAGATATTGTAAGGAAGATAACATATCAGAATCATATCTGTCTGCCTAGCACAAACTGTTAATTGTAAGCTCTAATCTTTCTATCCAATTGCCCAAAAAATGACATTGATTCTTAAACCTAAAACTGATTATATACCCTCAGGACTGCAGGAAACACATCAGTGTTTTCATTTCAAGGCTTCAATTAATTTATTCTTTTATGTATTATTTTCAATATAGGAATGATATGTGTATTAAAAATAAAACCTATTGGACATATCTTAAAGGAAAAAGTGGCCAGAAGGGGACTGAGTGGATTCATCTGGCACGAAATGTGACCCAGTTTAATTTGTGAATACAGTAATAAATCTTAGAGTTTCATAAAAGCTAACATTTTTTTGACTAGCTGAACGAATAATAGCTTGACAGGAAGGATGGCGCCCTATGGTGTAAGTTAGATTCGATTCTTAAGTAACCAGCGTACACAGGCTACGTCGTATAATTGCAAAGCATGTTCTGATGTCGTGAAAACTGGAGTGTTTATGCATCTTAAGTATAAAATATACTTCCATCATAGATAATAATAAATTTAATTTGAAAAGTTTAATGTTTAGAAGAGGACGTACAGTTACAGTAAATAACCTTGCTACAGGGAACTTCGAATTTAATGATTCACTCAAAATAATTTAGACTCTAAGCTCATAATTGATTCACAACTTAATTTATCTCCTTTGTCTAATCTGCTCATAAAAATTCTAATTGTTTTACCTGCTACAAACTTATATCAGTTTCCTAAACAACAGCCTATGTTGTGTTTAAAGAACTTCTTGTACATTATGATTACATAAAGAGTGAAGTTTCTGCTGCGGATTCACTTCTTAAACTAAACGCAGTTGTAGATTTAATAATTGTTTGTTTTTTTTTGTAATTCAGTATTCTTGTCATTTGTTGAAAAACACGAGTAACTCGCATTGTACATGTTGCAAAGCTCATTAAACTAATTGCAGGGATATGGGACAGATGTACTTGGTTGACAGCAGTAACCCTCTTGAGATTGTAAGCTCAGTCGTTATAGCGAATAGGTTACGAGCTGAACGACAGAGAGATCGGGGGCCGATTCCGCGCAGGGGCGAGAGATTTTTCTCTTCTTCACAGAGCCCAGAATGGCTGTGGGCCCCACGTACCCTCCTATTTAATGGAAGCCGAAGATTTTTTTAGGTGTAAAGTGGCCGGGGCGTGAAACTGACTTTTCAATCTAGTGTTTGGACGGTATCTAATACTTGGAGTGGTACTTCAGCTCCTCCATACGTCTTCATGGCTTACAAGCTGAAATATACAAGCTAAACGACAAATAAATTAATACTTTCAGGGTAATGAATCGTAATAAATTCTACCCAGTAAAATCACTGGAAACTGTTTAATTTTAATCACTTGTACCCAGTTAGGCAAAACAAATATGATTAAGCGAGAGGACAGGCAATTTAATAAACCTAAATAAGTTTAAATAGTATTTTCTTTGCATTTATATATAATCTTCAACCCATGAATAAATCATTAAAATTTCAGTTAATGAAATTTACTCACGCTGAAACTTCATATAAATTAATTACTTACCAAAGTGATTAAATTAAATTATTTGAATACACAGAACTTATACAGAATTTTAGCAGCCATATAGATTATTTGCATACACATTACAGTGAGGGATCAGCTGTAAAATTTCTGTTTTCTTCAGCAAGACAGAACTTCCACTTCTCTCTTCGCAATGCCAGTCTGCGTGCTGCTCTACTTAACTACTCCTACTGACTGTTGTGAATTACTTTGATTTCTTCTTGTAGTCAATGGTTTTCTCTGNTAATACACAGGACTTATACAGAATTTTAACAGCCGTATAGATTATTTGCATACACATTACAGTGAGTGATCAGCTGTAAAATTTCTGTTTTCTTCAGCAAGACAGAACTTCACTTCTCTCTTCGCAATGCCAGTCTGCGTGCTGCTCTACTTAACTACTCCTACTGACTGTTGTGAATTACTTTGATTTCTTCTTGTAGTCAATGGTTTTCTCTGTTAGCTGTGTTTTCAATTTTCCTCCATCTTTTGCTGCAGTTGTTCTCAGTGTCGCCTACTGTATGATCCGTGGAAAGTTCTATAATTTTTTTTTATAATAACTATGTTATTGTTGCTGTTGTTGTTGTTGTTTCATTGGTTCATTTAAGTGTATTGTTATATCTGTAATTAACTGTTTTTGATCTACTGTTACAACATTAACTGCAATTTTTGTGGTATTTTTTCTTAATTTGTTTCTATATTATATGTGTCTGTGTATGTAAAATCTTCCCATTCTCACATTGCAGGGGGAATTTGGACGGAGGAAAAAGAAAAAAGAAGTAAGAGTTTGCTAAGTCCCCCACGTATTATTTTTACTTCTGCTGTATTTACTGACAAAACAGATTTATTACACAACTTAGACACCTGCTTGCTGCTTTCGCTTCCAACTTTTGCTGTGGCTTGAATGTCTTAGTAATAGGGAGTGATTCAAAATTAGTATCGGGGTTTCCATTTATAAGCCACGGAAACCCGGAAAATAATTTGGAATCAGTCTGTACTTCTGCTTTGATGATCTGCTATTTGCTTAACTCTGGATACGATGTTCTAGTGACCGTCCGACATTATAGTTATGATTTATATCCATTTTTGGAGTTTATAGGACTTAAGAGACCACAATTATATTAAAATTAAATTTATCGATATATTAAAAATTGTTATAATTGTTGGTGGCCTAATTAACTCATATATTCAGACTACATTTGTTTAACTGTATTGTTTGAATGTATCTTTAATATGGACAATAGTCGCTTCAAGCAGGAGTAATGAGTGTAAGTCTGAAGGGACAAACATTACAGAGAATTCAGAGATTTGTCACTTATTTTGACACTCGTCTGCATTTCACGCCAAGAAAACAATGTCGCATCGTCACTAGGAAACGTACGTATATAGATGACATCATCAATGGAAAGAAAATAACGTGTCTAATATTTCTTTCAAATAAAAATGTGGTCTTAATTATATTCCTGCAAATGCTAGAGGTTGTCTAGCCTGCCGGAGGACAGAAGTTTCTGACTAGTAAACGGAATGCTGAGTTCGCATACCAACACGTTCTCTTACGTGAATATTGCCTTACTCCTCCCCCCCCCCCACATAACCATGTTTCCTTTATTCTGGAATAAAATTTGTACATTGATACCTAATTCCAAGATAGTTCACATATTTTAACCACGTTTACTAGACCAATATAATTTTAAACATTGGTTTGAAATATTTATGAAGTAAATTTACAATAACTTATTTGAAGCTGTCATCTAAAGCGCAGACTGTCAGCCTACCTCAGACCGCTGATCAAAATGCACGAATGTTGCTTGTCTCTTCTAGAAAAGCTTCCGCTTGACTCCACTGTAAAGATATTTGTTCTGTTTTACGAAAGCATCTCTTTTGTAATGTTGCAAATATTTTTACATCGAGCCAACATGGAAGCATAAGGTCACATTATTAATAATCTTACAGCAAAAATCACTTTACAGTAGAGAAAAAGGAAAGAAGATACGTTGTTTCTTAAGAAAGTTCCTTTTTTACAGTTTATTTTACGCAGATTTTAAAGATATTTACAGTTATGGTTATACATTGATAGCTTGCATTGTGCATGATTCAAATGCTTTTAGATCGCTGGTTTCAAACATTGCGTAGTCTAGAAGACAAGCTGATCGTCAAATTGAATGAATCACCTGTTATTAGATCCTGCTTTATAGTGTTCACTTTAGTCCTGTACCGAGCCCAGTCGTTGGTGCAACCGTAACACACCGCTCTGATGCAGGCGAGGTTGTTGTAGTTGTAGTTTGAATGTACGTTTATTTTCTCTTTCAGTGAAACAGTTGGAATTCACTACATATGAAGTCGATTCATTTCAAGTAGCAACTTTCCGAATGCAACAAAGCGATGTTTAATTATTTTCAATTAATTAGCTATCAACTTCGGGACTCATGATGCATTTGTTACTCTGAAGTGGATAGATTCGTTACCCATTTCGATAACGAACTATATATATATATATATGAATATAGAAATTCATAGTCCTATAGGTCAATCATTATTTATGTCTTACTTCTAATGATATCTGAAAGCGGTCTGGTATAAGGATGTGAGGAGGTTCCTTGGGCATTTTGCATTGCGTGGACTTCGTGAAACGTATCTACGACGTTTCAGAAGATGGCTCAGTCTCCTTATTTAGGTACAGAACCGAGAAGAAAAGTAAATACTCAGTGTGACCTGATAAACAGAGTTCTTGTTGCTGAACTTTGGTTTGTACTTAAAGATGGAGACAGTCACCCTCGTAACCTTGTAGACACAACTCAGTTCCATTCAGTAGACACGTTCAGAGAAGTTCTTGCGTCGTGTTAGGTACAGTATTAGCCTGCAGAATTTCAGTAGATTTCGTGGATGACTGTACATGGTCCCTGTCCATACATCTTGTTATACATATAGACAGTAACATCTTTGCAGTATGCATGTACATATCTAAAATCTCGATTACAAATTTATATAGGCAGTTATATTTTCAGAAATAAGCAAACCTGTTAAGCGTCCTCGAATTTCAAATATTTATAACGAATCCGCAAGTATTATAATATAGCATAATAGTTATGAGAAGTTACAAATTCTGGGATATAACGCCTTGTAGTCCTTTGAAAATAAATCGACGTTTCAAAGGAAAATACTACCTCAAGCTTCAGGGTGGAAGAATAAGCCAAGCAAGAAACCGGCATGAGACTACTTCCGCTTGGCACTTGTTTAGTGCTGGTTTCTTACTTGGCTTATCCGTCGACCCTGAAGATGGAGGTGGTATGTTCCTCCTCAAGGTCCGTTGCTTTTCAACGGACTACACTGCGATGTATCCCAGAAAACAGAACTGTTCAAACTTTATTTAATCACCACTGCTTACATAATAGAACAGTTACCCACTATTCCAACTTCAGCAAACAAACGCCATTCCTCTGATAACGTACATAATTTCCTAATTAATTATATAGTTAAATTCTTTGTACATTTGGAGAAGTAAATATGAGATTCGCTAAAATGATGGTTATTTTTAATTGTCTTCCACTTCAATGATGTACTCATTTTTCTGTTTCATAGCAGATTTGAGTTTTCAATACAGAAGGACTTGTTCTTTTGTTCTATTTGAACGTTTGAACAAACTCTGCCATATGTAAACAATGGTCGTCGACAGCATAATACAAACAGTGAGCGTATCTCTCTGAACACGGACTGACGTGTGAACAGAATGGTCAAGTTTCTAATAATGTATTACTCACTTTTGGTTTGTCACATGCATGCTACACTCTAGCACTGTTGTGGAACTTTGTGTTATGGCCTACGCATATGGAAACTATTCCTGTATAACTTTACGCTCTTCGGAATGTTCATTTCATTATGCTCAGCTGCTCAAGTTATGCAACAGAGAATAGAAATAAAATTTCTTAAACAAAAAATCTGTTATGGTTTTAAAGATAACGGTTGGATAAATTTTGAAAACATCCAAACAGGGCAACTTTATACAAATTTTGGCTTCTCTTTGTCCTTTCGAAGTAATACTTGTGAAAAAAAAATGGATGGTTTGTGCAAGACAAATTGTTGAAAACTTCAATAGCAAAATACCAAAACTGTCACCTTCAACATACTATATTCGCAGGGCCGGATTTACGTTTCTAGGGGGCCAGGAGCAAACAAAACCTTGTCGGCCCCTATCAGTAACAAAAAATTTAGTTTATGAAAATTTTTGCTTATTATTTCTTATAACAGCTAAAAGTACGAACAACAATTTAATGATTTTAGAGAAGCAAATTTCTCAGTACAATCTGTGGATTAAAATAACATTTTTTGGAAGCCCTGGGCTTCAAATCCGACGCGTTTATTCGTTTTTACTGATAAAAGACCAAAGGAAACACGCATGAGAATATTTACGTGGGCCTTATTAGCATACCAATTTCCACAACACCGAATCACAAACACGAAGATATTGTGCATTTTATCACTGAGTGACACTGCTTCGGTGTGTTTCGGAAATACGTCTTAGGTGTAGAGCACATTGATAGAAAGTTGCAACTTAGAAGAATTACCTTAGGTAATTAGTATAACTCCTTAGCAATGAAAGTCATGTTAGATCATAGAGATCACAAACTCGTTACTACAGTGTGAACGTTGACGTACCGTAGTCACTACTAAAGTAAGTTACAACTTCCAAGCATCTTTGATTGTAAGCACTTTTAATAAGCAGAGTTTTCATAACGATTGGCGAAGTGCTGTTTAATTTACTTGGCTTTTTGCTTCTTGTGGGGGCACGCAGTAGCGTAGTTGGTTGAGGGGCTGTGCTACAAGCCGGAAGGTCGCGGGTTCAAGTCCCGATGAGGTCATTGGATATTTTTCAGTTAACCTAATCCTTCCGGCCGCACTAGGCCCTGGCCTTTACTCAGCCTCTAACAGAGATGAGTACCAGGAATTAATTAAATAATTTTCCTGGTGAGTAAAGCGCGTCTCACAACCATATGGGCCTTCACGGCCTGGCACACGGATAGCTTTACTTTACTTTTTACTTTTACTTTTGTTTCTTGTAACTGTACTGTCTGAGAGTGACAGGTGAAGTAAACTTTGTTTTATATAGTCACTAAATCTAATAGTATATTTGCTTATTTGAAGTCAACCCATAAACAAAACAAAAAAGAAAACTCCGTGGCTGTAGTCCGCAAGAGAACTATACCGACCGAGCGACCGCTGTTTGTCGGCGAAGCTGGTGCCAACTTTTGCGGATAGAGGGTGTCACGTGGTCAGCGCAACGGATCCCCATGGTCTCTAATCTCGGTTTTCTAGACCGGAGCCGCTATTTCCTTGAAATAGCTCGTCAGTTATCCTCACGAGGCCGAGTGAAGTCAATCCATTCCTACTAAATTAATTTTAATCATATTTAGATTATGCTGGGAGGTTGGAACTGCAGTGGTTAAGTAACGTATATGATAAGACTGCCATATTGTATATGTGTATATTAAACATTAATTACGTTACAAACTTGTAAGTCCTACGAGAATGAACTCGCAACATCTCTAGAAAGTAGTAAGATTATGCAGAAATGGTAATGAAGATGTATGGGTATTGTAACTTAACACAGGATTTGGCGCTAGTAGGCCTATATTCATTTACAAGGTACGGTATATAGAAGAAAAGCAACATAAAAATAGGGTATTTATATTGTACGTTTGGAGCAGCAGTCTTCAGATTGCCAGTCTTTGCAACAAATTTAATGTTCATCTGATAATGAACTGAGAATTGTTAGTTTCGGTAAAGAAGGACTTCATGGAACATGTCACTTCAGCTGCTTTTAAATGTTCCGAATTTGTAGTGTTACGAAAGTATTTTAATATGGAAAAAATCGTCACATTCAGCACAATATCTGTATGACAAATTCCTCTTAACGTAAATTTATTGGTTACGTAATATCTCAGTGTTCATTTTCATATGACAACTTTATTATGACGTTTTGAAACATGGTACTTATTATTTAAAGTGAAATTATAACTTTCTGAGATCTTACAGAATACATTTTGACGGTGTGGAGGGTTGAACCATCCCATAGCTCAGGCGACTTTTTCACCTCTGCCTCCAGGGTTCGATCAAGAGTCAGATATTTCTTATGAAAGAAATTAGACCGGGATAGATTTTCTCCGAGGACTTTGCTTTCCGCTGCCAATTCTCATTTCACCAACTGCTACCTATTCATTATTCATGTCACCGACGCTCTATAGTCTGGTTACTGACAGGGTCGTTAAACAACCAAATTAAAAAATTCTGGAAACTATAATTCAGATTTTAGGAGAAGTGTATATTCCAAATGTGGTGTTTCAATCTTGAATGGACATCTCACTTGTAAAATGCATTAGTCATTTTCGTTTCCTGAGATAATTAATCTCAAAATTTGTAACATATTTGGAGCCAATTGTAACTTTACTGTCCGTGGCATTCAGGTATATTTTAATTTTTTAAGACAATTTAAAAAATGTTTTAACTTTCTGAACAGTTCTGAATTGGAGTACAAAAGTAAATTATTTGCTTCTTGTCAACAGTAAATTGTGTTTTGCATTCTTTGAAAATATTTCGTTTGTGTTAAATACCAGTAAACCAAGGAAATTATACTGATGATATTGATGAAATCAATGGAATGAGACTCGTAAAGCCTGGTTTCTATGAAAACATGTAAACGATACGCTTTCAATTTCTGTTTCCATAGGCTACGCTAACAACAATACAGTGCTTTTCATCAATTTACCCTGTCAATATCTACTGACTGTTCCTATTGAAGGTTAGCCAGTATAATGTTTGCAATTTTTTGCACCATGTAGGTAGAGAAACTGATCGCATCTTGTATTTATGTGGCTAAAACATTCTTAAAGTTACCATTTTGAACTCCGACTTCTTATAAAATGGGTTTATTGGTGAGGTATGACCTTGAATCTATATCGGATTTCAGGTTCCAGCTACTAACATGTTGGCATATTCCAACTGATGCATTTACAATGTCAAGATGGTATGTCCTTTCATAGGTTCTCTTGTAAAAGTTACAAGAAGTTCAGTAGTAGTTAAAAGGTTACCAGTTTCAAATATGTTCTATAAGGTTACAACAGATGGAACATTTCTCTATAACATTCTTACGCAGAGACTGATCATGAATCAGCAACGATTTCGGATGAAACTGATAAAGCTCTATTTGAATTTAACATATATTTGTGTAAGAGAAAGAGGAATATGTCACCAGAAACACAAGTTGCCTGCACGTTACTGCAGTATTAGTTATACCAATCGATTGTGCAAGTATTAACCGGAGGAGGGTGATCGATAGCCAGAAGAGCCCAGATCGACAGTTGTTGACTGCAGAAAACTGATTTGCTGTTTGGCTATGTTTGGGCAGGTTCGGTACGATGACGAGGAAGAAGATGAAGGTCCGCAACCGGACGCGACGCTGGAGCAAGGGGCGCCGATTCCAGTGCGGATGCAAGGCGCATTTCCTCCTGAGCTCTCCTCCACTCCTCTTGAGGACATCGACCCCTATTACCATAACCAGAGAGTAAGTAACTTCTTTTCCTATTCGCTAAGACAATGTTTCTCGACTTTTTTTTATAGAGTAATCATTTAAAAAAACATTCTTTTGAAGTACCCAAACTACGTAAGATTTTCTGACCCAAAATTATCACTCACAGATAGCCTTAGTTGTTCTGCAGGAATAGTTGTGCGTTTTAACTTCCTTATTTTTACAATCCTTTTTACCCTAATAGTAGTTTACAAAAATCTTTATTAGTTGAAACTTAATTACCCTCGTGTTCCCATAAGAGTATGCGTACCACTGGTTGAGAAACACCGCTTTGAGATGTTTGGAAGAAATGTGAGGGTGAAGCTATCCTTTTCATGAAGGCACGTATGATAAGGCAAACCTAACCAAGCAGATTCTCAGCTTCCGAAACGTCGTGTTTTCTATTCTCTAAAATATCGGATGATGAAAAAAGTCCAAAAACCCAGTAATTCAAAACCTATCCAGTTTAGTAACTAACCTTGTTTCCAGGCATGTCAGTATAAAATTGAGCATGTGTTGTACAGTTTTAACAGTTTACATATTTCCTGTTTATGTATTTGTATAATTATGCATTTGTAAATAATCTTGGGGTAGGACTTAAGCGGGAGCGACCTGGGCGGTCGCCCCAGGCCCTCTGCAGAACAGGAGAAAACACTTTTTATTAAGACATTTTATTCTCAAAAATCACGAAAAATTAGTTGTTTTAGGAAATAACACAAACAAAAAATTGCCGTAACCTACATTTATTGTTGCTGATAGGGCCCCCACTTTTTGGTTGCCCGGGGCCTCCTGCAACTGTAAATCCGGCCTAGAGCTCAATGACGAATCTGAGATTTTTGAATATTGGCTAGTATGCTAACCACAAAACCACTGCCGGCACATTAATCGTAAAAGAAGCAAGTCAGGAAGTTACGCGTAGCAGTAACAATTTCAGCCCATTCTCAGTTGTTGGCTCTAGAGTTTAAATTCGCGATTGCGAATAAATGCGAATAAATAACGAAATATGGGCTGTGTCAAGAAAACTCACAGATAAATGTGAAATTATTAATTGTGTCTTTCCCTTTTTACTCACCAAAAACTCATCAGGCCTGAAATTATGCTAACTCTTAATAAACAATAATTTCAGTATCTTAAATTATAACTTTTGCAAACATTGGTACAGAAAATTAAAAAAAAATCACAAACTATTATTAAAGGTATCAGGTATGTGAAAATTTAATAATGTTTTAAAACGTTCGAAACTTTTTCTTAAATTTTTTAAGAAATTTTTATTTTAATATTTTCTTTGAGGATGTGATTTAAACTACTTTTCCATGTAACGACCTGAAGGCTAGATGAGATCCAAACAACGGGCAATGCTTAACATAATAATGTTGAAATTGATTGTTGGTCATGGATTTGTAGGGGTATGTTGAAATTTCATATTTCTTTTACGTTTGGAATATGTGTAGTCATGAGTGTCACCATTTTTTTTGGGGGGGTGGGCAGCAAGTTCTCCAATGAGGAGCAACAAGAACACGTGCTTAGAAATTTACATTTAAGTCAGTCAAGGCTGTTTTTATTACTTAAAGAATATTTTAATTTTTATTATTAACATTTTATATATTTCATTTTTGTTCAGTTTTTACATTTTTTAATTCAGGTAGAAGGTGGCAAATATGTAGTTACCCTCCCTCCCTGCTGACATCCATATGTGTAGGATTTAGAATGTCAGGGAACTCTACGTTTACATTGAGTGTAAATGTGTTTTGACTAGACATAAATGACCCTGTAAGAGCCTGGAGCCATGATGAGAATTAGCAGACCACGTGTTATTTGTGAAAAAGCTCCAAGGAGAAATGAGGCATCAGGAGCAAAGGTCTGGGTGACCTCGAAGACCTGTTAGAGAAATGAGAAATGGGTATAATAACCTACAATATATCCCGAATTCCTTAAAGTAATCTGTTATGAAATGTTACTGATATCGAATCATTTTTCAGATTTTCATAATTGGAATTTTGAAGTTTGTTTTATTCTGACTATTCTTTGGTATATTGTTTGTTAAGGAATTGCAAGAACAAAATGATCTCTATATCTCTGCGGTACCTGAGCCTACCAGATATGAACATTTCCCGTTTCAGACATTCGTGGTGGTAAGCAAAGGAAAGGACATTTTCCGGTTCAGTGCGACAGATGCCATGTGGATTCTGGACCCATTCAACCCAATCCGGCGGGTAGCCATCTATATTTTGGTTCATCCCTTGTTCTCACTCTTCATCATCACCACCATTTTAACCAACTGCATCTTCATGATACTGCCTTCGTCTCCCACAATAGAATCCACTGAGTAAGTCACCTAGTTCTTCGTAAAATAAAGGCAAATCTTTACATATGTACACCGTTTTAAGGAGGCTGCATAAGGTTGGGAAGTTCTAACCTTCTCTGTAGATAAAAGTAACGTGTAAGTTAAGCATGGCATTTGTTTAGTTTAAATTTCCAACATTTAAAAGTTAATAAATGTATGGTATAAAGTACTCCGGTCTAAAACCGAGATTAAGGCTGTGGGGATCTTTTGCGCTGACCACGCGACACCCTCTATCTGCTAAAGTTGCAGAAACTTCGCCAGCAGGCGGCAGTCTCTCGAGCCATGGAGTTTGTTTCTTTTTGTTATAGTATGAAGCACATATTGCCTCCATCTTCATCATCAAAGTAAGTTTGGTGTTTGAGTGTTCATTTATGTACAGGTGTTTGCCCAACAGACTCACGCGAAGGGGGTTGGAGGGGCTGATCCCTAGTCTAAGCCAATAGGAACAATGGATAAGGAAGCGTTTTAAAAACTCACCCTATCCATTTCCACCCTTAAGGTGGATTCAGTATATACACTGAAACATCGGCAGTACTGCCCACATCCACTGGTGCAAATAGTCAAAAGCAGTATCAGCATCAATAATGAACAACCACGAAAGCATAAGATCCATAATTAGAATTAAGAAGCCCACCTGCCATAGTGTGTTAGTTTTACACCATCCTTGGCTAGCATAAGTTCTGTCAGCACAGAATCCATTTAAAAGGGTTTTTAATGTAGAGCTAGTTTTTGACTGACATAACCAGCTTTTTGACTTAACATGCTTTGACCACAGCTTCTCTGTTGCATCTGTCAAGTGTTGAGTGAAGTGTGTAGGCTTGAAGGGAGGTTAAGTTAATGATTTAAATTCTTACTTGTTATAAAGAACATTTACTAATGAATAAAAAATCAAAATACAAATTTTTCTGGAACTACTTGCAGAAATAAGGTTCATATATTGTTTTTTTTTATGGAATCGATACAGAATGGAAATATGCAAAAATCAATTTTATTCTTTTGAGATCTGAGTTTCTTACAGCAGTGAATATTAAGATTATCATATTCCAGGATGTGACACAGTGCAGTTTGGTAGATAAGGATATTGTTCCTCCATCATCAAAGTAAAAGGAGTCTGGAGACGGCATGTTTCTCTGAAAGACTGGTAGCCATCCACCAAACTGCATGGCATCACATACCAGAAGACCATAATTCAAAGCTTGCTTTCAGAAGTGGTTCTGTTATTCATATTCATCAGCTTAAATGCTGAACATAAATCTAGTAACAGGACACATGCTCTGTGAAGCAGTACATATGTATGACATGGATCTGTGCACGCACACATACACACTCGCTTGTACATATGTGAACACGAACACAAACACGCCATACATACAGAAAAAACTACCACGATTTCTTGATTTTTGTGTATAGCTCAGGAATAAGCAGACATCACCATAACTTGAGATATGTTGTTGCTCCAAATAAAATTATGTATTAAGCAATACTGAATGTGTATACAACCACGTGGCGCTAAAACTTCCATCTACTATACTGTGATACCTGAATACGTATTATTAATGGTAATATTGACTGAAGTAGTAGTACACAACCATTCTTTCCTAATCTATCCTTGACAGAAATACAAGATATACCTGTGTGGCGATATATTCAGGTGTTGTAATTTTAAACGTGAAAAGTTATCTTATTTTGTATTAGATTCTTGTCTTTAAATCTTTGTACCCAGCAATGATGGTTTCACTGCGTCATGTATTGAAGCTGTTACAGTGTTTCAGCATACACTACAATTTCCATCTTCAGGGTTGTATGTCAGTAAGTATAAGTATATATCGTTCCTTTTCCCTTTCCTGCATTACACTCACTCTGAGGATGACTGCAGTATATGGCAAAAATTTGGGACAGCTTCAGCACATGACATGGCTAATCTCCAGAAGCCAGATTTATGCATTAATATATTAATTCTAAAAAGTTCCTTTCTTATAGTTTTCATTTTAAAGTGCAATAGGTACTGTAGTTCCTGTAGTATAGTAAGAAACAACATGTTTATTTTTTTTTTTTTTTTTTTTTCNGAAAATTCTTTCATTGTGTGTTATGTCAGTTAAATAATTATGGTGCTTCAGTGTACCCCCATAATACAAACTGCACATTAACTGTGCTTGTTTGTTTTATTTTGCTCTGTGTTATGTTTTATGTGTTTGTAGCTAGCTTAGGCCTAACATAGAGACGTTCTTTTTCAGAGTAATTTTTACTGGCATCTACACATTTGAGTCGGCTGTTAAGGTGATGGCGAGAGGGTTCATACTTCAGCCATTCACATACCTTAGAGATGCATGGAACTGGCTGGACTTCGTAGTAATAGCTTTAGCGTGAGTAGTGATGTGAGATTGAAGTATATCGCTAGTTGATCCCTAGTTAAATTGTTTGAACTGTTTGTAACAGTGCTGTGTAATGGAGGTTTGTAAACCGGAGTTTCAAACTTTGTACACTGATATGAATGATGGTTAGAATTAGCTTTTAGTGAAGAGAGATTATGATTTAGAAATAGGGTGTAGTGTAAATGTTGTGTGATTGAAATGTTTCTAGTTGTAGTTGAAGTTATTATATTGTTCCATGATTCAGGAACAGGCTTTCAAATTGCTGGTGTAACTTCAGAGACTCTGCTATAAACAGGATATCTCTTATCATATGAATGAATGGAGACAAATTTAATTCATTTTGAAAGTTCACTATACAGTAAAATCTATCAAAAATAAAACCTAGATTAAACAAGAATGTGCTTCTCTTTAAAAAATTTCCATTTTCTAGATTTCAGAATGAAAACAAATGTGACATTACTTGTCAGTAAATGGATACAGAAAACAAGAATTTAGCAGACAAATTCTTCTCAGTTATTTAAATGATTTCTCTTTGTACAGTTTTGCTTAATAATGTAGTTTCTAAAATTTATATGTTAAGAAACATATCTATCATAAATTGGAAAGAATTAAGCCTTACAGTTGCCAAATATTTTCAGAATACTTTAATGTACAACTGGAAAGGATAGGAAAGTAAACGAGAATTAAGGAAAACTGTAAATGTATGCTACTGAATAACAGAATAGTGTAAAGACATGACATGGACTTTGATCTGTGATATGGACCCTAAATACTGGTGCATGGAAGTAATTACCAGTGTTAAATTGAAATATGTCTAAAGTGGGAAAATGTTTGGGCCTCTGGAATACTGTTACATGTAAAGGAACAGAATTTTCAGTTTTGTGATACATAGTTTCAGGCCAAATTTAGGGAATATACATCTTTTCCTGAAACTCACCTTATGTTTCCATGTGTTAGTGAGACTTAAAAATGGGAGGTCAAGTAAAAATGGACACTGAAATATGTCATACAGAATATGAGAAAAACGAATTGCTGCTTTGTTTTCCCTTAGATCCAAAGATTATATGCTAGTAAGACTGAATCACAAGCAAAAACTAGCCATAATGTTAAAATTTTTCTGTATGGAGAAATTTATGAACAATGATAGTTATATATTTGTCCCTTCATTCAGATATGCATGATCAATGTTTTTGTTATATGTAATTGTTTCTCCTTTAGATATGTATAAAAATATCATTAATCGGTTTCAGATATTTTCTGTATTTAAAGATGTCTTGAGCAATAGCTAACAATTAGAGCCATGCATTTTGTATATCTTATGAAACTTTCATTTACAGGTTTGTGAAATCAATTTATTTTATCAATAATTGATTACTAGTATTTAATAATTTGTATTAATGATCTTTATGATCCTTATTTACAGTTATGTAACCATGGGAATAGATCTAGGAAACCTGGCCGCCTTGCGAACGTTCAGGGTGCTCCGAGCTTTGAAGACTGTTGCTATTGTTCCAGGTGAGATTAAGATGCAGTGATTGAAGCATCCAACAGTTTTATTACACCCGTGTATTGCAGATACTCTAAAGGGTCATTATTGAAGATTTCCTTATGTTCAGATAATGTCAGTCTCACATATCTTAAGCACTGGATGCACTGGAGCAGATGAAACAGTGTGATATGATGGCACACAGTCTGCCAAACAGGATCAGTGAGCTGTCATTCAATTCCTTGGTGTCAAGGGTTATCAAAAAACTGAATTTTATGGGAGAATGCCTGCTGTGTATGGAAATATTTGTGTCTCCAAGGCAGTAAACATGGAGTGGTGTTTGAAGTGATGATGCACATTTTGGTCAGATTCACATCATTCCAGCATATGAAAATGTTGGTGCAGATATCAGAGGATTCATGCACTAGCAGCACGATTCAATATGAGTATCCATAATGTGCACACAATCATGTGACACCTGGGATATCACCCAGTTGAGTCCATGAATGCTCACATAGGGTTACAAGCAACAGCATATGACCCCATCATTGGAGTATTTGTGATGCTACCAGGCAGAGGACAGTGTGGTTTTGCAATGGACTGTGGAGTCACAACTTTCAACCTATGATAAAAGAAGAGAGCATTGGAGAGATCCATCCCATCAGGCCTCAGCATTCTGTGGGGAAGGTCATGCTGACTTTTCATCAATGTCAGTGGACCACCAATGCTGGCATTAAGGTGCCTGATGTATGCAGCACTACTGTGGAACACTTCAAGACTTCCATACCTACACCAAGAGAAAAATCCTGGTGTTCTCATGAGAAGCGTCAGTTTTCTGTACAAGAATGTCCTTCACCATGTTTTCTACACTAACCAGGACACCCTGAGCTCCATGCAGTGGAGACATAGAACATCCCCCATATAATTTGTACCAGTCATAGTATGGCTATATATGTAAATGACTTCCTCAAGATGTAGTCAAAGCGCCAAGGATTAAGATCAGATGAAGATATTGAAATGACAGTTGTGCAGTGGTTTGAGTAGCTGTTATATTTGAAAGGGAAAAATTGGCTGAATCTAATTTTCCCACACTAAAAGAGAGATACTCAATGCTGTGCGCCCTCTGTAGTTGAAACTGTAGGTTTAATTAACCTAAGAACCTTGAAACAGATAGACATTCATTTCAGTTAGAAATATGACATTGTGATGAACATGGAACTATTTTACTTCTTTTTAGGTTTGAAGACCATTGTTGGTGCTGTGATTGAATCTGTGAAGAACCTGCGTGATGTGATAATCCTCACGATGTTCTCACTCTCCGTGTTTGCCTTAATGGGGCTCCAGATTTACATGGGTGTCCTCACGCAGAAATGTGTCAAGAACTTCCCTACAGATGGCTCATGGGGGAACTTGACAGATGAAAATTGGTTCAATTTTTGCAGTAACGACTGTAAGTTTAATTGTTAATTGTAACTGATCCGACTCTATTTGAGCTACAAGCTCTGTCTAAGAGATCTCAATAAAAGTATTAGAAATAGCAGAGAATATGTTTACTCAAGTGCACTCCCATAACAGTGATATTCACTGCCCATTGAGATGTATTTAATATACATTATATTTTTATAATTGACTTTATTCCAAAGAAATATTTTTATTGTAAATAATTAATTTAAAATCAGAATTAACTTGGTATTAGTCGCAGCAGTTGGGATTAAATCCAGGTGAATTCTTATTTAGTAGTCATGGAACCAGGGGTTTACAGTCCATTTGATTGCGCAGCCTTTCCCCCCCCCCCAAATGTAGTGACTCCTGGACAGAAAAGTAGCTGACTGAGCTGAATGGTGTTTCCAACATTTTTTTAATCAAGAGTTTGTGTTCTACTGTGTGACAAAACTGCAGCCAAAACTGTTGTTTGTTTTTGTTCTGAATGTAAATAATTTTTTCAGACATAATTTCACACAATACAACACTTTGCCATTATTTACTCTCCTTTCGCAATGCATAAGAGATATCTTTGTGACCTACCTGGGGATTGTGATGCACAGGTTGAAATTGAGACTGTTAGTGAGTGCTTTTATCTTGCAGAGTCAACTTTGATTACATTAATACCAATTACCATAAACTTCTGATATAACTTAGTATCAGTAGTTCCACAGTCTCACGTGTAACACTATGTTCTATAAAACATTAAAAGCTGTACAGAACTATTAGGCGTATTTTGGACTCTATCCATCATCTTGGAACAAGACTCATCACCTGTGACAGTTTGGGCTAGCATATCGTGTCCTTCACTGTGGTAGTGATTGAGATGCTGTTGTGGGGCTCTCTTGTCATCGATGTGCGTAGTCTTGTCGCTACTCCTATGACAACCCACTTCTTCGGAACAGTTTGTTGGCCCTGAAAAGGACCGTGGCTGCTGAGATGATTGACCGGTGAGGTAGCGCGGCGCGCGCCGGTAAGGAGGAAGGCTAGTGAATGGCGAGTGGCCTGGCCGCAGTGCGGCCGTGGCTGGAGGTTGCTTGGTTGCCGTGCGGCAGCGTGAGTTGGAGGTTGCTTGATCGCTGCGCGGCAAATGGCGGAGGTTGCTGCTGGTGGTGAAAGGCTAGTCGAGCGCGGTCGTAGGAGCCATGAGGCAGTGGCTACGCCAGATGCCTAGTGAGTCGAACCGTAACACGACCACCGGCGAGTCCAGGCGCTGTGCCCCAGTGAGTCGGGTGTGAGAGCGCTGGAGGGCCGAGGCAGTCGTGCCCGGCGCAGCCTGCCGACGTCTCCGAAGACCGAGCGCTGGCGACGAAGCCTGCTGGTTGAAGCTGCTTGATGTGAAACTGCTGAACTGAATCGATGAACTGAATTGAACTGAATACTCGACTCTGGAGTCGCTCCTTTTTATACGCTGGTCGGTGGGGCGGAGCCAAACTCGAAAGTGAGGAGCAAGAATTGATTGGCTAGCGCGCGTAATGGTGTAGACGCGGGCTAGCGCCGAGCGTAGTATAAATGCGATCGTTTGAAGCAATCTGATTGGTTAGCGCGCGTGATGGTGAAAAGTGATGTGAAGAGCGAGCGTTGCAGAAATGCGTGATAATGTGGGATGTTCCCACATTGTAATGCCAGACCCATTCTTTGCATTTTGTGTTGTGGGGTCAGCATGCATGGCACCCATCATGCACAGACTTTCTGAAAACCTAACCTGTCATGCATTGTGAGGTAGGCCATGCCACGTGAACAACCAGTAGCAGTGGCTATAGTGTCTATAGTTACCCTTCTGTAGGCAAGTCATTGCCTGGTTCTGACAGCAGCCCAAAGAATTTTATCCTGCTTGTTTTCAGGGGCTTGTGAAACGATGGTACAAGTGCCTCAATGTACAGGGAGATTATGTTGAGAAATAAAAGCATTTTTCAAATCCGTACTCTTATTTGTTTAAGTTCTATATTCATTTGTAACTTACTTAATGACTTACCTACGTATTTTCAAAGGTATATTTGCAGAAGCTTATCACATGATGAAATGACTGAATTTCTGGCTGAATTTGAATATTTTAAGGCATTATTTTGGAAAATAAAATGTATTACATTTGACTTTTACAGCTCACTGGTATATTCCAGAGGGTAGTCTGGATCATCCCTTGTGTGGAAATTCATCAGGAGCTGGGTAAGTTTGTTGCTTAAGTTTGACAGTTAAGTGTCATTGAAGTTGTCTCTTCATGTAATAACTTCACAACTGAAGAATAAATGTTTGTAATATCTGATACTGAGGTTCTTTACTGAATTTTGTTAACATATTCCAGTTATAATTAAAATCAAACTTTACGTGATATCCTACATGTGTTTCTGCAACATGCTAAATGTTTATTGAAATTAAAATTATTTTGCATAATAGTTGTAGAGAGAAATGAATAATTTTGTGTCCAATACATTTTTTCTATACATTTTGTGGTCCTCAAAAAAAAAATTGTTTTTAAAATCTAGGGGCAATAACAAGTTGAAAATGCCAGTATTGTTACGCTGTTTGTATGTTTTCTTTTCACAGTACGTGTCTACCTGGTTATACATGCCTGCAAGGTTTTGGTGGTAATCCCAACTATGGTTACACCAGTTTTGACACCTTTGGTTGGGCTTTCCTGTCAGCCTTCAGACTGATGACACAGGATTACTGGGAGAACCTTTACCAACTGGTAAGATAACTGAGTGCTTATTATTAGTATTATTCTGGATATCTTTAGCTCCTCACAAATACAAATTTGGAGCATTGCCACTACAGCAACCTAGTCAATGGTACTAGTTTTGCTCCCACCTCAGACGTTCACTTGATTGCTGTGTTGATATTACTGATTCTAGGAAATTAGAAAATGCAAAGTAAGGTGACCACTAATAACATAATATTCACACCAAGTTTCATGAAATTTTGTTTATTGATTTAAAAACAAAAACGTTAAGAGAGACAAATGTGTGTAAGGACACACAGATATGAAGATACCATAAGACTAAATTTCTTTGTAAATCAAGGAAGCTGTGATAAAAATTTATCAGCTTCATGCATCAAATGTGGCTTTAATTTCTGTGTATGTTAGGGTGGTGGTGATAATGTTTTTATACTAGTTTCCTTTCTTACTTCCAGTATTCTTAAAGAAACCTACAGAGTATGTAAAATATTTTTGAGGGTGTATTATCATGAGATAATGACATAGTTCACCATTAGAAAGCTTATAGATTACATTTTTGACATATGGTGCGGAACAAAGTTGCTATACCAGAGATCTTACTGAAAACATAGGACTTTCCTTCCTTAAGGTTGGGCGCTCAAAGTCTGATGTAATGTGTACATGCATTTCACTCTGAAGAAGATGAAATGGGTTCATATATTTGGTCTCAAATTTTTGTTTCATGAGCAATAATATAATTTATTTTTAATTATGCATATCAAACGTTTGTATATTTAAATGTGAAAAAAATTATCCAGATTTTAAAAACAGTTTTTGCATAAAGTAAGAAAACCTTATCTCTAGAATTCCCTGTTGGCATATGCATGACATGTATTGAATCCAAATGGAAATTGAAGTAAGATTTTTTACCGTTATGTCCATAGGTACTGAGGTCTGCAGGTCCATGGCACATGTTGTTTTTCATTGTGATCATCTTTTTGGGCTCATTCTATCTCGTGAACTTGATTTTGGCCATTGTCGCCATGTCGTATGATGAGTTGCAGAAGAAGGCTGAGGAGGAAGAGGAAGCTGAAGAGAAAGCTTTAAGGGTAAGCGTTACTTCTGTATTATCCACTGTAAGAAAACAAAAATTGTTTCCACTGGTTCTTGTTAAATTCAATTAAAAAAAAAATTGAATTCGCCTAGTGGGGGGTGGAGTGCAACTGGGTCCACTTGGCACGACGGCCAGTCATTGGCCAATTGTAGCCTGCCCCGGGTGATTATGGTGATGGAGAATTTGGTGGAATGAAGATTGGCAGGGGAAACCGAAGTACTTGGAGAAAACTGCCCCAGCACCACTTTGTCCATCACAAATCCCTTTTGATGAGACCCAGGATTGAACCTGGGCCGTCGCGGTGGGAAGCCAGCGACTAACCACTTGAGCGGTCTTTATTGTTAAATTACTTCATAAGTGTAATATTGCAATACATTTGAGGCTATGTACCTAATTGACATGTTCTATGTCAGTAGTTTGAGCAAAAGGATGGAATAAAGCAAATTAAAATAAAGGAAAAGTAAATTGTCAGATAACAGTTCTCATAATGTTTTATGTACATCACTTGTGAAATGCTGCAGGAAGCTGAAGCAGCAGCTATTGCAAAAGAGGCCAAAAGAGCAAAACAGGCTGATAAATTAGCACAGGCAGCTCAGCAGTCATCAGAAGTAGTGAAGTCTCCTTCAGGGTGCTCATGCCTTAGTTATGAACTGTTTGTGGGACAGCCTAAAGGCAATGATGATAACAAGAGAGAAAATATGAGCATTCGAAGTGAAGGTGGGGACTCGATAAGTGAGCACAGAGGGAGGATTGCTGGAGCCAATGGGAGCATGGTCCGCAAGGTGAGTGCGGTAAGTATCAGCAATATCACTCTTTCTATATTTTTTGTTCTGTATTGTAGTTAGTGAGTGCATGAATTATAATGTATCTATATATATATGGGAAAGTTGTTAAAAATGAAAACAGTTTGGTAAGATAAATACTCATATATATGTGAATGATGAAATTGAAACATCTGCCAGAAAAAGTGTGCATAGGATAGAGACAGAGCTTGTCAATTTTAGAAAAATTATGATCTATTGTGATGTAATATTGTGTAGTTTTGTAGATAAGTACCAGTGTTTAGGAGGAAGCTACTGCTGCCATCTCTATTTGGAAGATGGAGACAACAGACTCCTCCCAAATGTTGGTACCTCTCTGCTAAACTACAAAATGCCACATCCCAGAACCACACCTCTGCCCTTGTTTCCTCACTAAGGAGTGGGATGTGACAGAATGTATTTTCTTAGGTAGGGTGTCAGTACTAATGTTTCAGAGGAACATGTTGCCTCCATCTTCAAAGCAGAAATAGGAACAGTGCCATGAAAATGGCTTTTCAAGGTTTTCCCAGGTAGCTTACTCTTCTATCCTGAAGATAGAAGCAACAGGTTCCCCTGAAACATTGGTACCTACTCTCTGTCTATGCTAATGCATGGTGTCACATCCCATAAGACCATAATTAAAAATATTTGTGTTCTGTATAAAAACAGTAATAAAATGAGATTTGAAATAACAGCATGTGCGGGACATAGTGCTGTAGAGATTTGCTGATGTTGTGGAGAACTACATAGAGTCACCAATAATGACACTGAGAGTACCATGTAATTAGTCATAGTAACTTTCCTGTTTTTGTTTTGTTACTTATGCACAGGGATTATTATTTTCTCACTCTCAACAATGTGTCAGAATGGCATTCCCCCCCCCCCCACAATAAATTCATAAGTAAGACATTAAAGATATTAACATCTGCTACACAGAAATGACAAAGTTCTGCAATCCAACTATGGTGGAGGCTGTCACACATGAAATTTATCATAAACATTATTTATTCTTCTGTCAGATGTTTCCTTCTTTCTTCCTTTAAAAGATGGAAACTGGATTTTGTTTCACAAATTAAAAATTTTTACTAACTTAAGTTTCATGTTTTTGTGTAGGCAGCCAAATGGCAAATTAAAATTATTTCAAATTTTTCTCAACATTTGACATTTGGCTGCATAAAGAGATGCGTAAAATGCTTATTAAGTATGTATAACAGAGTATAACATAACATGTATGAGATGGTTCCAAATAAATTGCCTATATATTTTTGATATTCACTCTTCATTTTAAAACGCTTTGTGAAAATATTATAGCCCTAGCAATGCAGACATTAAGATTATACTTGGGATGTTCTGTCTTCCATCTACTGTTGTTACATATTGATATATATAAGGTGTCATATGTTCTGTGTTCTTGCTTATGGATGTTTATTATTTAGTTCCAGTTCAATTTGTAGTTTTTGTTTATTTATCTGAATTGCATATAGGCTTCGGCTTTTGATTGTGTTGTGTTCTTTCCTCAGTGAATGGATTTAAATTGGTGCAGCTATGTTAAAGCAAAATTCTCCTTGGAAATTTGTTTCTATTTGGTGTGAAAAATTTGCTGTAATTATGGGCAGGATACTGGGATTCAGATTCAAGCATCAGAATCTCAATATTGAATTATAAAGAAGCAGTCTTTGTTTGAAAACTAAGTAGATTGGTTGAAATCTGATATTGTCATATTTATGAAAATATTTTCAACCTATATTTAAAATAATTACTTCATAATTAGATGCTTGATTATTTTAGGACATTATAATTCAGTAATTTATTTATAAGTGTGATGGCAGAGATATTTAGGTAAATATATATATTTACATGTTGCTCTCTGCAGATCTCTGCACCATGGGAAAGAGATACATAATGTCACTTCTCATTTCAAAATTAAAGTTAAGTAATATATTTGAAATGAACCTTCTTCATTCCAACTTCTCGGTCTATCTCAATTCAATTTACAAGTATAATGTAAAGTTTAGTGCAGATTTTTTTAAGAATGAAATCCCAGCTCCTTCAGTACATTTATTAACATATCTGATCATAGTTACATTTATGAAGAAAATGTTTTGCAACCAATTTGTATTTCTTAATCCTTGGAACAGAAATTCAATTCTAAAACATATTGTGTGTTGATTAATGCTGTATATTATGTAACCCTATAATTCAATATAATTTCTAATTTTGTTTCCTGTAATCCCAATGGAGCATGTTTTATATGTCGTATCGTAAGTGCAGACATAGATGTGTAATTCATATCCAGTGCTTTTTTTCCTAAAAAGATATTTTTGCTGCTACTGTAATTAAAAAAATTAAAACAGAAAAAGAAGCATTGAAATATACAATGTGATGACATATTTTTGAATTCTAATTTTGATGAGTTTGCTGGTGCACATCAATTATTGCTGGTTTATATAGCAGCATGTGCGAATTGAGAAGAAGCACTGTTTATATCTATGTGTAAAATATGAGGTAGCTTGAAATTCCAATATTATTAATATACATATATATAGCTTCTTCTTTTCTATACTGTGCAGTTTTGGCAGCTGAGGTGTGTAGAATGGTGCATATGCTAATGTGACCAGACGTCAGCATGGATGTAATATTTCGTCAAAATTATACTCTTCCTAGGTTGGTCTCAAACAATTTTGAGTGTCTGTACTTTCACTAGAAACAATCTAGAGATAATCATATCAGCAGTGTTCCATTTAGAAATCAAGGTTTCCAGGTTTATTGATCTAAATATTGGGGTACTTGAAGAACTAGTAGTTCATATTTGTAGCAGATCCTAGGCATGCAAAACACATTGGTGTTATGCTAATAAATGGCTAACCTTCATTTGCTTAGAAGTATCCACTATTTATAATATTTAATTAAAAATGTGTTTATTTATAGGTGTTTACCACGCAGTTTTCAAATCAGGATTTTGGATGTCCAAAGTGACTTGAAAACTAGGCCAGAAAAATTTCCTTATGGCCTAATGTACTTAAAAGAGCATTATGATTATACTTAAATATATGCTTGATATACTTAAAGGAATAAGTGATTGTTTAATATCAATGCTGTATGTTCATTTTCTAGAGCATTTGTACCTGATATTACAACTTAAGGATCGTACCCAGATAAAGAGTAAATTGCATGTAGTAATATGAGGATTGCCATATGTGGTGAATTTATTTAATTGAACCAATTTCTGGCACTTGTTAACAATTGATTTCAAATTATGTAAATGATCAGAAGTAATTCTCATTATTATTGGTACGGTTTTATCAGGAATAATCATGGACTGTTAAATCAGTAGAAACTTTCTCTGATTTTGAGAAACACTCTCTGTAAATCTACATAAACAGATATAAAGAAATAATTGCCAAAAAAAAATTGTGCTTTGTTGGTATGACTCATACATATTGGTAGTGAAAGGGGTAGTGAAAGTGAAGAAAATTAACAGTGTTTCATGGGATTAGGTACGGATATACATTTCGTTACAGTTTGATTAATCAAAATTTCAGACAAGTACAACAGTATTTATACATGTAGTGCATACAATGGAAGAATCGCTTGCAGGGCAAATTGTATAAAATGAAGGGTAAGTTTTTGATTTCCTACATTAAAATAAAAACATTTATTTCAAATAGCTGATTTTGTATAGTTTATACTTATTCTTTCAGAATTGTCTGAGACCAACTTCAGTATGAAGTACATAGCTACAGATGCAGAACTGGAGCATTTCAGCCACAGTTATTCCTGTCCACCAAAATTATTTGCATAGAAATTTTGCTTGCATCATTTAATTTTACCAAGAATACTGGCAAATTTTGTACCTGTTATTGCTTTTTTGCTACCTAAACCTTTACACTGGCTTCTTTTATTTGTTTTCCATCTATGTTGTTGTTATTTGTTTGTAATGAATGATCCACATTCACTTAAATTATTGGTCATTATTGTTACAACTACACAAAAGTAAACTTTTACATGGTGTCCTTAATGCTACCAATCTTGATCCTGATCCTGTTATGAGAAATACAAAAATGGATTCTTGATTATCATTCTCAGCTTATCTTACTATGTTTCTCTTTTGGTAAGACTTATGTGACATTGAATGGAGTTACACATTTTTACAACCAGTTTCGTAAAAGTGCTGCACAGAGAAACAATACTGACATCAATGTCAGATTGAATACAAAGTAAAAAATTTTCAAATATGTACTAGTATAAGATAAAAGCAAATATGTTCGTTTAAAAGAGCTATTTATTCATATCTTAGTTATTGATTTATCATCATGTTGAAATAATACTACCTTCTGGGTTGTAATGCTGTGTATTCTGGCAGGAGTTTATTGGTTTTCAGAAGAAATACAGTCTCTCTCCATCTTCAGGGCTAATAAGTAAACCAAGCAAGTAGGTAATAAGAATCAGGCGGCAAGAAATGCATGCTTCTTGCTGATTATTTTCTTGGCTTACCCTTTGACCTTTTAAGATGGAGGCAGTATGTTCTACTGAAATATGGTGAACTTCTACCAGAGTCAGCGGTGTTACATTGTAGGAGATTGTAATCTTCATAGTCATTAATCTGAGAACCTTAAATCCAACAAATAGAACTTCTGTTTGTACTGAAGCTTGTCATCAAAGATTTCTTTTAAACATTTTCTTACATAATTATGATTTTATGTAGGTACATGCAAATAATGGAGAAGTTCATGGAGGTAGGCCTAGGCCCACTGGGGCTGTAATGCCAAGGAAAACAAAAGAAAAAACATGCAAATAATATTGAATGCTGTCATCAAAACACATTCTTTCTTCACAGTATTGTGGCCTGCTAGTGCTGACTTAGGGTATAGATGCTGTAATTATGTGAGTGGTGTTATTTTCAGATTCAGAGCAGACATCATTTGGTAGAGTAGTCACATGAAAAAGCTGATTTATTTCTTTTTATAAGCCAACCCTGGTGATTAAAATACATAATTTCTCAGTTTCTTTTATTCTCATTGACATAAATTATAAAAAGCTTTAGTGTTCATAGAGGATGAAGTATATTATGTTCTTTGTGTGGCATAATAGTAAAATTTGCTCTTAATATGGTACTAATAAAAAGCTAAAGAATATAAACAGAAAGCAAAATTAAAAAATGCTCAACTAAGGAGAATATCGAAAACAATCTTGGTCATTTCATTTTCATTTTACTGCAGTGATTGAAGATACATATCTTACTCATATTACATCACCATCATCAATGCTATAGAAGAAGATACTGGAAGCATCATAGAGTAAACCATAAAATATATCGCCAGTATAGCTGATGTCATATCATCTTTTTCAGTCTGTCTTGTTTTATTATAAAGCATTTTATTTGAAATATTTCTATTGCATACATCATTTTTATCATATTATTTCTCATCTCAAATAACATCATCTTACATCATATTCTGTCACACCTTATACTGTGTCTCTTATCCCATAGTTTTCAGTCTCTCCACTTTTAATTTCATCTCATTATCTGTATTTTCTTAGAAAAGTACAGATATTAGAATAATAAGAGACTATTTTTAAACAATAAATAGAGATGGCTCTTGACATTCAGAAACAATACTGTAACTGCAGATTCTATTTAAGATATGAACGTGTGTTTTATCTGTAGTCCTGGCTTTTCTCTAACAGTAAATAAAACCACATTACTCATATTTTTGTCTTCCAGTTTATAATGGTAAGAGTGTGTAAAACCGTTTCAGAGGAACCTACTAACCCTCTCCTCAAGGTTCTGAAAATGGAGGCAGTATTCTCCCCCAGATATTTAATTTACATGCTAGACTGAATGATGTCATAACCGGAAGACTACAATATGAATCTTTGATGTTGTCAAGACTTCAAATTTTTATGTTAAAGAAATCCTCAAGAGCACCAAAAAGGAACCTTACCAACTTCACAGCATGTTATTTGTCACCCTTGGATGGAATTTTCTATTATTTTAGTTTGTACCGTTATCATTTATTATTTTGGCACTTTTTTAAGGGTTGAAGTATTCTTTTATTCACTGCACAGGCATGAAGCAACTCTTGTTACAGTGAAAGCCATTTTAAGAGCACTTTATGTTTGGTATTTAAAATATTTATTTACAAGAATATTTTAGGGGAAAAGAGTGTGTGAATATATTTTGGTAGGAGATTTTTCTCTTTTTTTCTTAAGGTTCCTCACTGTCAGTACAGAGATTCAAATACTGCAACTAAAAGCCAGTTTACTTTTACATACCCGGAAAGCCTCGTGAAGGTATGTCAATTCTGCAGTCTGTAACATGATTCATCCCATGCTGTGAAGAGCAGTCACACAAGCATTTGCACCATAAAATTTCACATCAGATGAGTGTCCCACAATTAGATTGCTTATTTGTACAGCCAACTATGCAAGTAAGGTAGTAATATCTAACATTAAGTACATTTGTGGGGCTAGAAACATATGTTCTCTGTTCCATCTTATTTTTCATAAACCTAGTTTTATTGAGAAGTACTGGGTTTTTGGACTTTGTCCAATGTCCGGTATTCTAGAAACTAGAAAAAACAACGTTTTGGAAGCTGGATCTGTTTTCATCCTCAGGTGAGGGGGGAGAAAGTCCAAAAACCCAGTACTTCTCAATTCTGTGTATTATACACCATTGTCAGAACCCTTTACAATCTAAGTTTTATTGACTCTCTTTGTGGCGTTGAATCTAAATAATTAGTTGCTTAAGACCTCTTTCCTTAGAAAACTGGTTTGCTGTCCCAGCAATTGGCTATATAATTTTATTATTTATTTTTCCATGATTTGAATTTTCTTCATGATAATATGTAATAGCAACAAACGTGTTTTAAATACAAGGATGTGTTCAATTTGACTACATTTATGCCTACACTCAGGCAATGTGCAAGTAAAATAATGTTTCTGAAAAGCGTGTGAAAAATAAATGTAATTTTATTAATCAAATCTTACGATTTAGTTACATTCTGAAGATATGAAAGCATTCCTGTGCATCACACTTCTCAGAAGTCAGAAGTTCTTCAGTATCTGATACATTGACATTTCAGTTTTTATTTTCATTTTTTTCGTTATAGCACACAAATACATTTTTAAGAAAAAAAAAGCATAATATAAAAATAAATTGAAATATCTTCTCCTGATGATGGAGGCTGATCCCATCTCTGAAATATAGTAATTATAGCATTTTTTCCTTTAAATCAGGCAACAGATAATCTGTAATAAAAGATTAATTTGTTCTGACCCGTGATTTACTGGGTTTATTGGCCAAAGAATTAAAGATCAAGTGCAATCTCTCAGTCCCCATGGATTCACAATATGATCTTTGTTTCTTATTCCTCCCTGTTCATTTATAATATGTTAGTCCCTTATACTTATCTTGCAGCTCATCTTCAGTTCACTGCTCGTGTTTTCTTTATAAGATGTATCTAGAAATAACCTTGCAGTCCTGATAGGTGCCATGTGTCTGATGTTGACTGTCCTTCCAATCATCTCTTTTTATGAGCCATTCATTGATTAACTGAATATTTCACACATGCTTCTTCTCATCATTGCACATATGTCCTCTTCTGGTTTTCTTTAATACTTTTAATTATTCTTATTTCATTTATTTCTTTTCATTTTATTATGTTTAGTTAATTTCAGATAGCTACATAAGCTTTCCCCTTAACTGGAATGTGTTTATTGTCTCATATATTATTGCCTATATTATGGCAACATCATTTTTATGTGAAATTTAGTTTTCAATACGAAATACCAATATAAAAAGAAAATAAGAGAATTGTCATTTACCAGTTCAAAAAAATGGTGTACTTAACCTCGACAGTGTAGAGAATGGTGCTTTTTAACCTGTTTACTATTAGTTTTGGAACATGTTGGTTATTATAGAGAAGTTGATGGATAGTTTACTGATTACTTACTAATTATAGTGAGCAGTTACTCAAAGAGTTATTGAGATTTCTTCTCAGTATGACTCAATAAACTGGCTTTATATATCCCTCTCTGAACTAATTTCTGGCCTATAAATATTGTATTTTTTATTTCAGAAAACTCTTAATGTATTGATAAGCCATCTGTCTTATTAACTAACTTGAGGCATTTGTCTTCTTATTGTCATATGGGAATTTAATTTTTAGAGCACAGAGATCACCTACTATTGAAGAAAATTCCTTGCTGTTGGCTGTATAAATTCACTTCCTATCATATGAAGAGTCTATAGAGAAGCTCTGCTTCCATTTTAAGAAATAGCAAAGGGGTGTTCATTTGGCCCCTGTGAGGTAATAACATTTATTAAGCAAATTTGATTGTTTATTTCACATTCACAGAATAAAGCTCCATAAGAGATTCTGGTACTAATCCAATGTATTATTACTCAGAGATTGTATTAGAAATTTCTTAATCATTTCATTTATCACCCACCTGGTGAGTGTTTGCTCTCTTCACAATATTTCAGGCAAGTCTGAGTCTGCCAGGTTCACCATTTAATTTGCGCCGAGGTTCCCGTGGCAGTCATCAGTTCACAATTAGAAATGGACGTGGGAGGTTTGTGGGTCCACCAGGTGGAGATCGAAAGCCTCTTGTTCTTTCTACATACCTCGACGCACAAGTAAGTAGTTTTATTTGTAGGTCCAGCCAACCACACTGTAGAGTATGTGGATCTGAGAAGTTGTATTGGCCTGTAATGACTTTTACAAATGAAGAGAAAGGGACCATAAAAAATCCCTTTTTAGTTTTGGTTCATTCTCTCATTTTTAATTTGTTTAACTTTGTGGGTCTTGTTTTAAAAGAGCTGGACATATTACAGCCATCATGGTGTGTCAGAATCTAGGAGCTACACATTGTTCACTTTCCAGAAATATTTTTTCTTACTTTGAAAACCTGTGAAGTCCAGTTATTGAAATCAATTTTGTATGTAAAATTCTGAGGTGGGTTCTAGCTCTAGAGTCTAGAGCTAGAACCAACCTCAGAATGGATCAGTATATTTCATACTTTTCTTAGTATCTCTGATAATTTTAGCATCCTTTCACTACTTTTTATTATTCAAGAGTGATAACACTGTATAACTTTCATCAGAACACAATTCCAGCCTTAAAATTAGAAAAAGGAGAGGGCAATAAGTTTAGTCTAGAGTCTAGACTCTCTCCTTTTTCTAATTTTAAGGCTGGAATTGTGTTCTGATGAAAGTTATGCAGTGTTATCACTCTTGAATAATATAAGGTAGTGAAAGGATGCTAAAATTATCAGAGATACTAAGAAAAGTATGAAATATACCGGTCCATTTATTACAAAACCATTGTTGCCATATGCCTAGTATTCTATAACAGAATTAGTAAACACATCATCAAGGCCGCGCCATAGCTCAAGCGGTTATTCGCTGGCTTCCCACCATGGCGGCCCGGGTTCGATCCTGGGCCTGGTCAAGTGGGATTTGTGGTGGAAAAAGAGGCACTGGGGCATGTTTTCTCTGAGTACTTTGGTTTCCCCTGCCAATCTTCATTCCACCAATTGCTCCACAATCAACCTCACCTATCATCTGGGGCTGGTACAATAGGTCAGAAGTGTCTGCAGTACAAGGGACTTAGTCCCACACCACTAGCAATAAAAAAGAAAAACATCATCAAAGCAGTGATACATAGCCTTCAATTTTCTTGTTTCCAGGAGCATCTGCCTTATGCAGATGACTCAAATGCAGTAACGCCAATGTCTGAAGAGAATGGGGCGATAGTTGTACCAGTTTATTATGCTAATCTTGGATCAAGGCATTCCTCATACACATCTCATGCATCTCGGATATCCTACACATCACATGGGGATCTCCTTGGTGCGCCTAAGACCAAGGAGAGCCAACTGAGAGGTCGGACAGGACGGAACAACCCTTCACAGATGCCTAACTCTACATCTGCTATGCCAGATGAGCATAAATACATGGTAGGAAGATATTTACATTTTGCATATCTAAAAATAGGAACTGGGATACCATAGTCGGTATAGCAACAGATATAGTACAGAGTACAGGTTTGTCATGCTGTATATCCACTGAATGGTTGTTTGGAGGAAAAAAGAAAATCAAGAAAATTAGTTTCAAAATTCATAATCAGGATTTTAACTGTGTGTTTAAGGAAGTGTATTTATATTGTATTATAGCTGTACTCACTAAAGAGAGTGTGAACTTGCAAATCACCCTTAACTTTATTGCAGGACACATCTGTTGATAGTGACAGTGGAGCAGTCAAAGCAAAACATGGAGATAACCCATTCGTTGAACAGATGCAATCAACAACTGTTGTTGATATGGATGGTAAGTTGTTAGATCCCCTGTACTGGGGGTATGGTCTGACAGCCATGATAGTATGTAAAATTGTTACCACAGTGTACAAAATATTTGTGATAAACTACTATAGTTGTGGTATTTTAGTAACATTCTTAATGTGTAATATATCCTGACACGAGAGAGTGTATAAACAATCCTTGAATCAGTGGCTCACAGCTTTAGCTTGTTGGTATCCAATTTATGATAGAATGATTTATGATCTGTATCATATAAACAAATGTGGATGTGAAACTTACATACTCCCCAAGTAATCTTTTAGTCATTAGAAAAACATCTGTGTCATCTGTGGGTAGAGTACTGCTTGACAGCTCTTTTCCCCTTTGTCAGAGTGTTAGATCTTGCCATCTTTTAAATTGTTCGGTGACATTAAAGTTTTAAATACTAATTGCTTGACAATGGTTGAGAATCATTTTGAATATGATTTGAATACAGTAATTCCATATCGGATTTTATTTGATGAAGTTTATTCATGAAATTTCATTTTTTAATTTTATTTAATGAATTTATTTACAGACAAAATGAAACCATATAACTGCATTATATACATGTAAAATAAACTTAACAAAATGTTGATAAGTTGTGTACATATAACAATGATGGCCACCTTTGTCTGCACATCATATGCAATTTCCTATATTATCTTGGCATCTGTTGATAAAATTATGAAGATATAGTGCTAGAAGTTGAAGGATCATAATAATATTGCACTATGATAATTAGAACATGGTGTCATTAATTAATATGAGAAAGATATAAGGTGTCTGCCAGATTGATATTGTGACATTATAACAGAAGAGAGCTGTTACAAGGTCATGGCATAGTAAACAACTCACCAGGATAACAATAATTTCCATGCAGCCGAGGTACAATGATTTATGTGTGTTTCGCATGGATAGCAATGTCACCCAACAATAAAAGAACCATTGGAAGTGATGTTTTCTGGTCGGTTGTGCCAAGGCTGTATAATGAGGACAAGTTGCTATTACGAGACAGTCTTGAGATGGTAGGTAGAAGAGTAGGAGGTTGGCATGAGATGGCCATCCAGCCTGTGAGGATGTGAGCCCAGGATCAGAGGAATTTCCACTGCTAGAAGATGTTACCAAACAGTGCAGTGAAGACTGTGAACGATAACATTAGTTTTTCTGCTATAGTGATTTGTAAAATGTAGTCACAAGTTGTTTAAAGAGTGCAATAAATCCTATTGCCCATCTGAAGCTCATGTATAGTCACTCCATTACGTTACAATATACTCAGCTTACTTGAAACAAAGATTGTTACAGTCAGGAATTTAATGGTCTGTTGTTTCTGCCTCAAATATAGAACTCAAAAAGTACATGTAAACAGACTATAAGTTCTTTTATTTTAATTGATACAAAACCTTTAATGTAAATACTTTTAGGATCTTCCTTTTAGGTATTTTCCTGAACATAATATTATACTGCTGAAGTGAAATTACCTTTTTGAAGAGTGTAATAACAAAAACACAAGTATTATTAACTTTTTCCTATGTTTGGCATTATTGTCACAAAAGAAATGCCAGGAAAGCAACTTGTCACTGAAAAGATACTGGAGCCCTGCCCTTCTTTACCCTGCCTTGACTATAGCCCTGCCCAATGCATGTGAAAGCCTTTCTGATTGTACTTATGAATTTTGTTTATTTGATTATAGATGTATACATGTAATAGATTACATAAGTCACACAACTAAAATAACACACACCAGTTAACTAACATAGGTAATATAAAAAAAAGACAAAACAAGAGCTTATTACAATTGTAACTAAACATAATTTAAAAAGTGCATTACTATAAAAACTTAAAATTAACATAATTTTCCCATAAATCAAAATACATTGATACAGGACTCGTCATATACATACATACACATCCTCCACTTTCCATAAACATCCATACAGGGAACAAACCCAGGATGTGGAATTAGTCATCAAAGACATACACAAAGTCACACAAGTCACACCGCGAAGATCACCCACATTAATTATCTAGCACATACAACAATACAAGGCAAAAAAAGTAAACAAACATAAGTCACAAGTAGCCACAATACAACTCTTCACATCACCCTTACCAACTATATTAAAATGTGGCGTTAAGCATTCAAATTTATGTTCCTTTGTAATTAACATACTCATTTAATGTATAAAAAGAGTTAGCATGTAAAAATCTTTTTAGGGAACGTTCAAAGGATTTCTGGTTATTAGATAATTGTTTCAGCTCTTTAGGCAGATGATTGTAGATTTTTATACCAGAATAATATGGACCCTTTTGAACTTTAGTGAACTTTGTGATATTTTTCTTCAGATGTGATGGTGCTAAATGAGATCATTGAACAGGCAGCAGGTCGTCAGAGTCGGGCCAGTGAGCAAGGAGGTAAATATTCTTAGCAAACAAGTAAATGTTTAGCTGTTGGTGTTTCTGTACAGATCACCTCTCCAAATCCTCCACTTTGTGTTTCCTTGTAGGGCCTGTAGATCCTATAATAACACCTGTTTTCTGTATGTCAGATATTTTGTGTACTCATATTCCATAGTAGATGATTGAATCTCAAATAGATAGACAGAGAAGAGAAAACAGTGGTGCTGAGGTTTTTGATAATACAGTTATATGGACATACCCGTTTTCTATGGTACATTTGATTATGTGATACTTGCTGCATTCCCTTCTTCATATGATTAGTTATGGTAGCAACTTGTTCCTTTTTAAAGGGTGTAAAATTTGGTCTTGACAATTCAATTTATGTTTTTTAATGAAATCTGGTAAGAAGTATGTTAGTGTAATGACAACCATGACATGGCACATCACAAATTTCTCAAATGACATGTGTACACTGTATCAGATATACCAAAAAGTAGCGGAAAATGTCATATAATTGTGGTCATATGTAAACATTCCAGCATCTCCTGATCTGATATACGTTTGCTCTTTGTACTCATTTTCTTGTATTCTCTGAATAATCCACGTAATAATCAAATACTTATACTTTTCCTTAATGTTGTTCACCAAATTTCACTTACATGTCTCTATAATAGGTGACAGATCTGTGCGATCTTAAATTCTTCACCACTAATGACTGGAAAAAATTTCTGGTTTGAGAAATTCTTCATGTATGAAACAGAAACAAAAATCCAGAATTCAACATCTGTGATATATCATAGAAAAAGAAAACTGAGTACATGTTCTTCCACATTCAGTATTCTCTGCTCATTGCACAGTTTTTTAACACAAAAAAATATTAATATTTGCAAAATTTATTTGTCTGAGCATAATTTCTAAAAATGTAGCATGCATAATCTTATGAAACATGTACTTTGTGCTTCTAAGTTTGAATCTACATCCTTTCAGAACATTACAATTCTTCATCTCAAAAGTCTGTTATCTGTCATTAAATTTCAGTATAGAACATAACTAAGTTTCTGGCTTTGAGACTTAAGTGTTGCATATGTGTAACACAGAGTGACTAAACACACAAATAACTCTTGCATATTACTTTTTATTCAGAGGATACTTTGTGTCCATGACTGTATATATCCAGTGTATTCATTGCTTCTTGTCCTTGACATGAAGAGAAATAATTTTGAATCCAGATATAATCTTTGTGTAGGAAGCTAGTGTTGAGGCCATAAATTCCTTCTAGTTATTCGGTATATGGACAAATTTCTCTCTTCTAGACAAATCAGAGTAATAATAAAGAGTAGATGCCCCATCCTCTGTATGTGCCTGAGTCTTCTGCAGATTATGCTTTGTGTATTTCATGAACATAAATTGTTATATTCTTGTAGCTGAAGTACATACTTCAATACATAACTTGAAAACAAAATTTATTTGAATGAAATTTTAATATAAAAGTTCTCTCTTTGCTTAATCTATGGGGAATGGAAGTGTAACTCCACAGAATAGCTAGAGATGAGAGATTAGCTTCATGCCTCAGCCACTTTTCTCCCAGGGAAATAGTCCTAGTACCCAGTGGATAAAAGGCTGTCCTCTGGACTCAATGGAGAAGAAAAAATCTCTTTTCCATGGCTAGACTCATCCAGCCTCTAATATATTTCCTATATTGACTGAGCTATCCCAAACTTAATTATATTGATTTTATTAAAATTTGCATTTTCTTTGTACATTCTTAAAAGATAATGAAATAGTTGGAAAAATAATTTAGTTTTTGTTGAAGTTATCATAAAGTGAAGCCTCATTTTTCAAATGTGGGGGTTTCTTTAAAATTCGGTGTAGTGTGAAATTTGTGTATAACTTATTGTTGGATGCTGTCATTAGAGAACTAGTTTCACTGTAGACAAAATTCTCCAGTAAGAGGCTTTATATTCATTTCAATTTATTACAAACATATGCAGGAAACAATACTCATAGTACTATATGAATTATGTAGCAGTGAGTTTCTTGATCAGACAGTTAGTACTAATAGGAAGGAAGTATTTCAGCCAGATTTTCCTCTTGTGTACCTTTATGACTTGCAGTTAGTCTCCTTTTAGATTGTATTGATGGTGAATTATCATACATACAGCATTTGATAAAAGAAAAGTAATTACCATAATTGCAACTTTCTGTTGTACATTTCCTTTGTGTATGTATATAATGTAATTTTCTGTGCTGTACTTGAACTTTGCAGTGCATCCTGATTCCTTCTTGGGGAAAGAGATTGGTTACTGATATATGCATGGCTCCTCTTGTATCTTATGCATGTTCTTGATATGCTTTTTTCTTGGTTTCCATTCTGTGGTAACCATACTTTCAAATATACCAGTGTGACTCATAATCTTTGAGACTTATATTAATAACAGAAGTAAGTATTCAACCATATGTGTGTTTAAGTATACAAGTAAGATTAAAATTAAATAAAGTGAATTTTGGAACTTGGATGTAATAGGAGTTTTGAGTTTGTGCTTAATATGTAAATTGTATTTTGTTTTTGCACTTGGAAGAATGGTGTAACATATATATTCCATACCTTATATCTTGCATTCAGTCACATATTCACATGTTGGTGGCTGCCATTATGTTAGAGACATTGAATGTTAAGTTATGATACCACTGAGATTAATATTCAAAATTTGAGGTCCATTATTTATCTGTGTAATGTACAGTTTTTCTGCAAGCAAGCTATAAAGTAATGTGTCTTATTAGTTTTCACTGCATTTGTGGACTGTTCATAGAAATGTTGGTGCACATATAAGGAATGAGGGTGGTGATAATGATGATTATGATTTTGAAGGCAGTCGTCTGCTATATATGGCATGTACAAATAGTTCCTTCCAGCTCAGTACTGCTATGATCTTTCTTCATGTCAATGGCCAACATAGTGTAAATACTTTTGAAGAAACATGAAATGAAAACAGATTAGCTAGGCAGCCAATGTAACTTTAAACACATGTCCCAGAAAATATGAAACCTAATGTAGTAAAAGTACTGTTTTATTTAATGTGACACCGCATAGTCTTGCATATCATCAGCAACATTTGGAGGAATGTGCTGCCTCCATCTTCAGGGTAGCAGGGTCCTCTGAAATGAACAGTCTATCAGTCTACACAGTGTCACATCTCAGTAGACAGTATCTTCATAGTCATGACCATGAGAAACTACAATCTCATGCAACATAGTAAGAGTCACATTTCATTGGAATAGTGTGAGACTGCATGAGCAAGCCCATGTGTATATGCAAAGAGTATAAGGGGGAAAAGTTAAAGATATCCCCATAACAGGCCTTGGAGGCCCATAGGTTATGAGACATTGAGGCTTCCACACTTTATACACAGTTGGCTCACAGATGGTGGTGAGATTGTTGCGAGCCTTACATACAGGCTACCCTTAACTTCCAGGAAGATTCCTGGTACTTATTTCTGTTAGAGGTTGAGACGACCCCATCATAGTACAGCTGGAAGGATTAAGTGAATTGAAAAATCCAGTAACCTCATCAGGAATTGAACCCGCAACCTTCTGGCTTGTGGAATAGTTCAACCAACTATGTAACAGTATGACTCAGAGATTCAAAAAGTTGTGAAGGAAATAGAAAGAAAGAAAGAAATGAACAGTGAGAGATATAAAAGGGAAAGAAATGGATGTAAACTAGGAGGTTTGAATTTTTTTGTGGGTAGACTTCAAAGTACATGTTTTAACGACCATTATTATATTTAAGTTTGCAGAATATTTTTATAGTGAGAGAAAAAACGTAATAATAGATTTGAGTTGCACTGGTTGTGTCCCAGTATCTTAATAGTGTTCTTTCTCTTTTGCTTGCTTACTTGCATTTTTAACCCACTGTAAATGCATGTGTGTGAACATTTTATTCCACTGAAACCTTCCCAAGCAGAGAGACATGATAATTGAGTTATAGTATTTTTAATGTAAATCTGTTGGCACCATTCGTATATATTGCTATAAAGACACAAGACATTTGATCTCACATGTGTAATGTATTAACTAGAAAGTAGAGAACAAGTTATTGTTAGGCTTGTTCAGCTTGTATTTACAATGCTGAGATGTCTCAACCCAAATGAGAGCTAATGCTGTGGTTATATTGTTATAATTACAACTAGCACTCATAATGCATGTTATAATACATATTATATTTGTCATACTATTTAAGTTTGCTTTAACATGTGATTTGTCTTATATATCTACTCATTTTAGGCTATAGATATCTTAAACTGAAAAGTACCTTATTAGAAAAATAATGTTTCCACTGAATACACATAGTTGTGCACCTGCAGAGACAAGAAATATAATAAATTCCTTGAAGTTTAGATATAGTTTGTTGGATATTTTTTAAATGGTATTTGCAAAATATTTCTAAATCATATTTTCAAATATATTTAAAATAATATTTCAAATGAGTTGAAATTTTAACAATATAACCATGCAATTGCCTCTTGTGATGGTGAGTTGTAACTGTCATGTCATTGTAAATCAATTGAAACAGTGCTAAAGATAGTGTACAGTAGTACTTGTTCAGAATCAAATGTCCTTAGAAGATGCTAGTCTCTGCATAATGGAATACATTTATTTCACTGATGTGGCAGTCTCAAAAGAACATAGTTTATTTCTGTGTTTAGTTAATACTAAAAATCCCAGCTTGAGAAGAGTAACTGTTCATAATGGCAGAACAACCTAATGCAGTATTTCTGAATATACACCACACTTCAGCTAAAATTTAAGTCTAGTAAAAATTAATTGAATTAAATTAAATTATTTTAGCAGGTACTAGTTTCATTTGTAAACCAGAAATCTCATTATGTGTCTAATGTACATTTTAATATATTTCATGTCATGAAATAAATATTTGATGCTACATACACAGTCCTGATACAGACAGTTTCATTAATAAACTTTCTGAAAAAAATTAAAGAAATATTCCATTTTAATGGGTTAAAAATATGATTGCCTGGTCTCTATTGGTAATCAAAAATTATTACTGGCTGATGTTTTCCAACTGTCATTTGGGATATAGCTTTTCTGGTCTAGGTACCATTAGTTTGGGACTCATAGGACAGGAAATGGTGAACCTCACCTGAATGAGTTAAGGACAACATAACCAATAAATTTTACTAATTAACCTGGCTTTTTAATCCAGTATCTTGTTACCATTACTTATCCCTGGCACAACAACAGGAAGAAACGGACCTTGTGCAAAAATGAAGGTGAGAATAAACTGATTCACCATTTTCTGGTGGGCAAAGTATTTTCTGGTTATCAGATTTTCAAAACAAATATGGCTTGTGACCATTTTGAAATCATTACTTCTTCATGGTAATCTTTGATATTCAATATTATCAGTGAAATTACATTTGTGCTGCCATTCCTTACCGCTTTACCAAAAGTTTTTTATATATTGTTACATAAATATGAATCAAAAAGTTTTTCATCTGAAAATCTCAGGATGGAAATGATTAATGACCCACATTCACAGATCTGTCAACACATATGTAAAAAAAAAAGTATTATGTTCTTTTGAAAACATTGCACTTCCAAAATCTGATGTGTTTACAATTTTATTATTCTTCTTTACAAAAGTAAATTTTCCTCTCCTACTCACAATAATTATATTGTTTGAAAAGATAACACTCATATACATATTTTGTAGCATACTGAATATGTCAGAAACGGATGATAGCTTTTTGGTCTCTTTAAATAATGTGTGAAGAAAGAAATATTTAATTTGGTGGACATTTGATTGGTTAGTAGTTTCATACCAGAGGAAAACTGTTTCAGGTTTAGGTGGCAGCGGTGTTGGGCACAGCAGTAGTTTTCCTTTTCAGGGTTAGTTGGGAGCTGGAAGTGGAGGAGCAGTTCCTGGCATAGAAATCTCTATCAATATTATGTTTCTTATAAGAGGTTTTCCTCTGTGTGTTGAAGCTGAATACTTGTAATCAGTGTTGTCAGAAACACAGTATGGCTGATCATACTCTCAACATTTCTGGTAAAGTTTGAACTTTTGAGTTACTCCTTGAAGATAGTCAGTGACTGTATTATGTACTTTTTAATAAATATAAAAGTTGTTTCCTTACAAATTATAAGAAATTCATGGATACAGAACAGATATACTGAACAAAATTTGTATTTTAATTTTTAATACTTTTCATATCAGCTTGATTGTAGTTAATAAATTTTTGTTCTTCAGCGTTTTTTTGTCTAAAATTTTAATATCATGATAAAGTTAGCAGGATGAATATGTTTATGTTCACATAATTTTGGAGAAATACAATGCAAAAAAAATAAAAAAACAAGAGAAAGAAATATATAAATGAACAATGGAAGAACATTGAAAAGATGCGGGCAATTTACATTTAAAATAAAGTAATTCTTTTGTTTAAAATAAATCATAGTCACTAGGAGTTACATTAGAATTTTCTTTTTAGTTTGATTCTGATCGTAATTTTTCAAGGGAGTTAATGGATCCCTGTGATTGTAGGTGCCCCTAGCAGCAGTAAGATAATAGATATTTAGGTATGCTGGTCATCTTCAGTTCTGTCTTAAACACTCATTAAGAAAAAAATACATATTCCTATAATAGAGTTATTTTTATTTCTCACGATGTTAAGAAATAGTGCTCTAGAATATTGTAACATTAATTTACATCTTGATTATCCTGCCTTGTCCTCATCTTCTCAGATTGTTTTCACTTCTCGCTAGTATTGTTTACAGTGTTAATTCATTGTTTACACATACATCACATGGTCTAAGACAAGTAAAGATACAAGGTACTTTATATCTTCCAAGTTTTGACATTTTCCTTCTTATTATGTTTATATTCAGACACTTTACCAGTTTGTGTGCAAGAGACCTCCAAGGGCATCCAGCCTTGAAAGGGACAAAATACAGAAGCATTTTTACACAATTTATATCAATAAAATAGTGTATCACATATGATTGAATGAGAACTTTAGTATTTATTTATAGTTTTGGTCCTAATAAGGCTACTAGGCTACAATCTGAGCTCAGATCTTGGAATGTAATTTAAAGTCACTTTAACATTATATCCACTTAAACATTTAGCGATTTAAATAAAAAGTTCTACTTTTATTATATTATGTAAAGGAATTAGGACATGTAAATTTTCGTAAACCTGGTTTGCTTTAGCAAGTAATTGTTTTTCTTCTAACTGTAAGAAATTATTAATACCAACCCTTCCAAGAGATTAATTTCTAATTATATCTTTTCCTGAATTTCCTTCAGTAATTAAAAAAAATCATATTCATTTTTGGATTCTGCTTCTGCTTCTTTTTGTAAGGATTCATGTTGCAGCATTATAGCTTGTTATGTGTTTTTGCAGGGGTGGGCTCTCAAAGTTCGATAATATTTATTTTGCAGTTTGACAAAATTTGTAACTATTCTTAAATTGATCTCTATGTCAGTTTTCTCTTCTGAGTTCTTTTCACTTTTCAACAGCATTTGTTGATCATTTAATTGTCTGTCATTACAATTATATAATTTTATTTATGGACTAATATATTTTGTTTGTAGTAGTCAAAGGTAACCTATTGTTAGGCTGTATGACATACACTTCTGTCACAGAATCAAAATCATGATTTTCAGTTCCATGAAAAATTCAGGAGAATCATTCCAAATTTGGTTATTAGAAATATTGAATAAGGAAGGATTATCTTATAGACAAGTAAATTAGTTGACAGAGGCTTGATGGGTCCAGGTATATGTATTTATTTGAGCCGCAATGTAAATTAATTAATGAGCAAGCATGACATAAATCTTTATGTATAAAGGAATACCGAAAATAAATCTCAGTTATTTAACAAAAATGTAGAGATGCGTATTTAAACATATATCAGCATCTTTATACTCAAAGATAAAGGTAAAATTATTCCTGGGCTTAAACATAATTTTATTAAAATTCTCAAATGTTTATCATACCACAAAAGATATGTATAAGAAGTAAAATATGTAAGTAAGATCTGTAAATTTATTTGAAATCGTTTTGATTTTGCCTATACATGAGAAAAACAGAAATTGTATTATGTCCTTATGTAAACAAAACATTTCATAAATATCCCAATGGCTAATTTATGTGGTTGATATTTTCTATATAACCTATTATTTAGATGTTATTGACACAATATAACGAAACACAAGCATTTTTTGTCTATTTCTGTTTCTTGTAAAATTTGATGGGCTTTCAGACTTGCAATACATTACAGATCTTAATTTTCTGTCGGTTCTCGTAACATTTGTAATACATCTGCTTCAGGACTGCTCATGGTGTAAGAAGAAGATATGCAGCTGCAATTAATCTTTAGCAAAACTTCGATTTGCTCACTTTGGCTGCACTGCATGTATAATCTGCATGGCTAAGAATATTGTAATGCCGTTGCATTGCATTTTCTTGTTAGAGGAATATTGAAATATATATGTCAAGTACTATTTCTTTTGTTACCTTCAATATTCTTTCAGCGTCCAATTTTCCTTTTCAATACATATCTAAATATTGTATATGATATAATCTTTTAATTAACACCACACAGATTAGGCATAAGTATGTATTTTGAACTTACAATTTCCCATACCTTTTCTATCTTAGGTTGAATACTGTAGTCTTATGTGAATAGTTAAAACTTACTCAACATCTATTATAATAGCAAAATCTTATTATTATAGACACAGACTTATTAGTATTCTCATAAACTTTCTTATGCTACTTAACAGTTTTACAATTTGTAAGGGTATATATAATCTGCACAGCTTATGTAAGTTATTCTAATTCAGATCTTCTAAACACATGCTTTCAGCAACATGTTCAACAAAGTTGTATACAGATTTATTAAACCAGTAAATCTGCTTTGGCTGAAGTTCCAGAAATTTTGATGTTTATGTAACCTGCAACCACTGGGAGAACTTTCTCGCATATTCGCACATTGATTTTGCTGTATGATTGGCTAAGTTATTCATTTGCCTTAAGATCAGCTGCATTTTATTTTCAATTCAACTTCTGCAACTGAGAAAGTTTAAACAATGATTAAAGGTGACATATATATATACATGTATCTTTTTGCAAAGATTGAATTTCGGATGTGAAATATATATTCTGTAGAACATATATTTTGTTAGAATTGTTAAGGTTAGTGTTTCATTTCTTGAAAGAAACTGAAACTGTCTTTGACTTCTTAACGTGTTTCAGTGCTTGAGAACAGTTATTTCTTTGAGGTTTTCTTGTCAATTATAGTGTTCTGTGTAACACTTCAGTTATTGAAGTAAATTTATTTTGGCCTTCATACATCCTCATGTGAAGTTTAAACAATCCAGTTTAGAAAGATTTTCTTTAGGTCTGAATTATGGTTGTGAGTGGGCCGCACCATAGCTGAAGCGGTTAGTCGCTGGCTTCCCACCACAGTGGCCTGGGTTCGATCCTGGGTCTGGTCAAGTGGGATTTGTGGTGGACAAAGTGGCGCTGGGGCAGGTTTTCTCTGAGTACTTCGGTTTCCCCTGCGAATCTTCATTCCACCAATTGCTCCACAATCACCCTCACCTATCATCTGGGGTTGGTACAATAGGTCAGAAGTGGCCGCAGTATAAGGGACTTAGTCCCGCCCCACTAGCAATAAAAAAAATGGTTGTGAGTGTATTATTTGAGTTTAATTGCTTCTTATATGTTGCGAAGTTCATAATCGTAATTTAACACGTACAATGAGTTAATTAAAAAGTTATGGGAAATTTCACACCTTCTCAAATTTAAGACATATGAAACTGTATTTAATTGCAAATTTCTTTTTGCAAAAAGAAACAATACAGTGTGTATCATCAGCCTACTGTGTATTAATGGAAAAGTACAATAATTCTTTTCAAACTCTTTCCCCAAAAAAGAGTTGTGGTTGCAAAGATACGTTACTAAAGCATTGCACAGTCTCGATCTATTATTTCCCGACAGACGAAGATGATGAGGATTCAACAGTTAAACAGAAGTTATTAGCTTTGTGTGTGCGGGGAATTGATGTCTTCTGCGTGTGGGATTGTTGCTGGCTGTGGCTGAAGTTCCAAGAGTATGTGGCCCTTCTCGTGTTTGATCCATTTGTTGAGTTATTCATCACGTTGTGTATCGTCGTCAACACCCTGTTCATGGCTCTTGATCATTACGACATGAATAAGGACATGGAGAGAGCTCTGAAGAGTGGCAACTATGTAAGTTGCACTGACTCACACTGCAGCAGTCTGATTTGCTTATTTTTTATTGGACACCTTGTTAACAATTGTTGGTATTTTACAAAGAATTATTTTTTCTTTAATTGTTAATTTAAATATTTGGGCAGCTTACATTAGTGGCAAAGTGGGTAAAAATTAATTGTTTGCTAGTAAATTGCTCATGTGAGGCCTCCAATCATTTTACTAAACATGCTTCAAATTTGGGAGGTTCCATTTTTGAATCTCAGTCTGGAAAGTGGTGATTATCAACTGAGATTTTTTTTGTTTTTCTCATTTGGTTGAGGCAGATTTAGATCATGGTTGCTTCCTTCCAGATTCATAATTTGCATTTATCATAATTGTATTCCATCTAGCCTACACAATTGTTAAATATAAGAAAGGCAAATTTGTCCCTGTGATTAATTAGTTACAGTACGTTTCATAATTTCGACCACTGTTCCTCAGATACTCATCATCATAACATCTACAAGAGTTGTCATTGATAGTTGTAGTACAAGGGCTGGTCAAGGCCTACTCTTTATGCATTCATTCATTCACCTGAAAGAATTAAAATATTCCTTTTAATAACATCTATTATATATACCATATTTTTGCTAGTTATGTTTCTCTGGAAGCTGATATGTTTCTCAAGAGTTCTATGTTCTTGGATATAATGCCAGGTTGTCTACTGATAGTCAAAGTACACTTCAGGGGTGATTTGTTGCTTCAAAATGTAATTCGATTTTCAGCAGACTACATGTCGTTATATCCCAGAAATTGGGACTCTTCTGAACACTTCTGTGAGAACCTCAAATTAAGTAATCAGATTTCTAGCTCTGAAGGACCCAGTGCAGTGGTTGGAACCTTTGAATCATATTCAAGAAGTCCACTTAATTTACTCCTTACCATTTTGGAGCCATTTTATTGTACTGAGTGAAAGGAAAATCAAAATGTAAGATTTGAGGTTTTCATGTCGGTGTCTATGAAGAAAGCAGTTTTCTGGGATGTGGAAATTGAAAAGTTTAACATCTGATTTTATCTGGATGTGAAGATAATTATAGTGAATATAATTCCAAGGATCTACCTTAATTTAATTTATTTGAACAGCTACTTTAGCAGTTCATTTTTAAGGGGAAGTTCAAGACAACTTTCACTTTACCACTGATGATGAAGTGTCCAATATATATTTTCTTTTGACTTGGAAGTATGTAATTTTATAAAAAGAAAATTGCTATTTAGTTTTCTGTTACTTTATTTGTGGTCTTATATTCTTTTTTATTTTTCTTATTCACTTTTAGTTTCCAGGCATAAAATTATTTTTTGACAGTTCTTAGTACCAACAAAATATATTTTTGAAGAACCTCATGATGTGGCATGATTTGGTATGGTCAGTGTTGTCATCATATTGGAGTCTGGTAAGTACTTTTAAATGTTATCTAGAAAAGTATCATATTTCTTTAATTTATTGTACCCCTGAGTGTAACATACATCAACTTTTGAAGTGTTGAATTAGAACAAGAATGTTCTACATATTAATTGTAAAAATTTATTGAATAATTTCTGCATATCTTTCATGACTGCTGTTGTTTCAAAACACTTTCATAAGTACAGGCAGATTTTTAGGGAGACTTCTGAAGGAAATGAGCTGTGCACTGTATGCAGGAAAATATGGTATTTTATATACAGACGATACATTTTCTGATGCTATAGCTGGACGTTGTTTTTGAATGTCAAACTTCTAGACAGTTGCATTATTACTAATTTAATATTTAATTCATTATTCATATTCAATTTATACTCTTAAATCTGAAATTAAAATTAATTTTCTTAATTTATTAATTTGTACTCATCATTACTCTTCTAAATGTAAATTATATATCAAAAATTAACTTGGAAGTGAATTGTTGTATGCATAATCTATTTTTGGAATAGTTTAAAATATCTCAGCCTTGTAATGCCATGTACCATGTCTGTTTCTTCTTACAAATGTGAGCATAGTTTCAAATTATTTTTTACATTTAATCTTTAATGAGTGAATATTTTCTAAATAATATATGAATATCTTCTAAATAATATATAAAAGTCCAGTTCATACCTTACAGGAACTCTGATGGCAAGATCATCATGTTAATACTGTTAAGAAAAGAATTGCTGTTTATTATGAGAACCATACCAAACACACAAATACACTTGTGTGTGGAATACATTTTTAGTATGTTAAAGCTGGTGGTATGTATGGAACAGCTGAGTTTCGAAGGGTTAAGTGCTGGCTTTCATACTGCATTTATATATTCACTTTTCTTACATTTTTATTTTCAGTCTGTTTTTAGATTAATTTGCTAAATTAAAAATATTTTGCTTTCTAATAGCATACAAATAATGACATCCAACCACTCTTTTTTAGAGTCTGAAATTTGTCTTCTGTGAAGTTTATATGCATTTTTAATTCACTTTCGTGATTTCATGATATAATACTTTTCACTTATGACACCTTAAAGTGACATGGTTGAAAGTTTTTGTAATTAATGACATTCGGAGTATTGATAGAATAATAAAACTCATATAAATTGTAGCGCGTTGCCTATGTAACGCGACAAGTAATTTCACGTGGGTCTCAGATTTGATGAAGACGTTTATTGGACAATCTTTTTTTTACACTCACACTTGCAATTATTTTTAAGTTACGTCCTTTAGGCGTTTCTTCTTTACTGTTATAATCACTTCTTACACCGCTGATCTCAGTGAAGTGTCTTGATCCCTTTGGCGGATGCGAGCTGGCTTCTTCTCTAGTCAGATCTACAATAAAAACTGACTGGTCTTGTTGAAGCTGGACGCTTATAACGTCCTTTTGGACTGAATATAGGGCACCATGTAGGAGGCTTTGGTTTCAACCCCTGTTATGCAACGAATCTCTTGCTGTCACTTCATCTCCGGGGAAATGTGTTTGTTGTTTAAACCAGGGGTCTCCAAACTTTTCGAACTGCGGGCCACATTAAGTAATTCAGCACTTTCAACAGGCCGGATAAAATGAGAAATTAATAACTCTAGGTATATGAGTTTTATTGAATGCACAGAATTTCATAAACTAAATACAAAGTACGTGAGACTAAATTATCGTATATTAATGACAACAGACAGTAGCAGCAAATGCTCATATTTTCATCACAAATTATAATAAAACAATGTGAATGATGGAACTCTTTTTGCATTCTTAAAATCTGATTAAATTGAGGTTCAAATTTTGAAACGCTAATCACAAGTAGTGACTTTAAATGTTCATCAGATAAATTTGCCCTGTATTTCGACCTGATGTACTTCATCTGGGAAAAAGTTTGTTCACACAGATATGTCGCCCCAAAAATGGAGATAAATTTACAAGCAAATTTCTTTAAATTTGGATATTGCTCAGAGTTCGGAAATTTATAAAATTCGATCAAATTTCTTTCTCTGTATTTGTCTTTAATATGATAATTTTCCTGAAGTTCAATAATTTCCATTTGAATTTGACTTGGGACATCTGCAGCATCACAGTCAAACGGATTTTGAAACAATCTAATTTCCTCAGCACTGGCATCCAAATCAGCAAATTGCTTCCAAAATTGTTCTTTCAAATCTGAAATGACTAAATTTGCAAACGAGGAAGGAAATTCTGCTTCACCCTTTTTATGCAACTCTGCACAGTATAGCATATGAACAAAGTTACAATTTTTCACTTGGCTTTCCAGAAGTATCAACTTTGCTCTGAATGCCTTGATAAGTTCAAATAAATCAGACTAAGTTACTTTCACCCTGCAACTTTAAATTCAAATTGTTCATATGGTTCACCAGATCAGCAAAAATGCTGATTTCCAAAGCCACTCGGTATCTGATAAAAGTGGTTTATGATGGTTTTTCTTGGTAAGAAATATATCAATTTCATTCCTGAGCTGAAAGAAGCGCGAAAGAACCTTTCCACAGCTAAGCCGTCGAACTGCAGTATAATATGTCAGGTCAATAAGCTCGGAATCACATTTACCAGTACTCATTGGAAANAACTGGCGATGGTTAAGTGCATGACAGCGAATGAAATCAACGATAGAAATAACAGGTTTTAAAACAGAGCTCATATCAATGTGTTTTGCACAGAGTGCTTGTTGGTGGATAACACAGTGAAGAAACATTGGCTTTGATATTCCTGCATCCTCACAAGCTTTTGTGATTTGGCCAACGAAACATATTTTTATACCAGACATGTTTTTTTCCTCCATCAACTGTCACACGCTGCAGACGGTTCCAGTCCAAATTATATTCTGTTAGTGTTTTTTGTATTTCTTTGAAGATATCATCTCCTGTTGTAGTGCCATGCATGCTGTGAAGTGACGCTAATTCCTGTGTGACATTAAGTTCATCGCTGATGCCACGAAAAAATACTATTAGTTGAGAGGTATTACAAACATCAGTTGAAATCTATGAACAAGTATTTTTTTTACCAGTACTCATTGGAAAATTAGTTCAATTGGCGCATTTCTGCACAATTCTTTCGTGGGCCGGATGGGGCCTGCGGGCCGTAGTTTGGAGACCCTTGGTTTAAGCGATTCCTAGGTAATGGTCCGCTGGTATTGCGTTTCCATGGAAGTATACATTCTTATCGCAGCCATTGCCTATCAATGAACCTCTTATCGCCCGGCTATTTGGCGGCACGCCACATTATATATATATATATATATTATTTTATATAATTTGCTGTCATGTAACTGTTAAATGATGGTGAATTTAGTCAGAAATATTACTTGAATATGACCCATAACCAAACTCTTTTCTGCAGAAATTCACTTTAGCCAGTGTGCAGTAAATAATGATGGTTTTAAAGTAATTTTGAAGATGAATATCAATTAATTGGTTAACTGTAGTTTGAATATAGAACAAAAGACCTTGTACTACCATTTATAGGAGTTTGAAGATATAAACAATTGCAATGATGGCTCAGCAGCCGGATGACTGATCTCAGTTTAACATATTTGATCAGTTGAATGTACGTATATCAATATGTAATCCAAGTTGTTGGAAATTAAATAAAATATTTCTTTTCATACATACTTGAACATCATATGTAGCACTGCTGGTTGTTTGTGTATATAAATTATCACTGTTTGGTTTGGTTTAGTGAATCCCTGCACAACAGCAATTTTTAAATGTGTTTTATTCTTTAGTTTTTCACTGCAACCTTTGGCATTGAGGCAGCACTCAAGCTGATGGCCATGAGTCCCAAGTTTTACTTCCAGGAAGGATGGAATATCTTTGACTTTATCATTGTTGCACTCTCTTTACTGGAACTTGGGCTTGAAGGTGTTCAAGGCCTATCTGTACTGCGATCATTCAGATTGGTGAGTACAGTGTTAGTCTATGATTTTATATGTATTGCTTTGTCACTCATGAGAAAAATGAAGAATGAATCAAAATATAGGCTGAAACAACGAAAGGGGAAAGACTACTAAAAGAAAGTTACAGATGCTAGTCTTATATATAGTATTTGGATTGATCAGGTGCAGATTAGGGTCCAATTTTGGGCTTTTGTGATCATGTGATGAAGGATTTGAGGTTCTCACAGCAGTGGTTATAAACAGTCCTATCTTTTGGGCTATAACATCATGTAGTCTGTTAGACATTAGTTGACATTCAGTGGACAACACAGTATGTTGTAGTTTAACGTCCTGTTGCACTGATTCATATTCATAATGTGTATGTATTAACAGTCTTCAAGTGCATACAATCCCATTTAGCACTTCTACACTACATGTATCCAACACATCCAAGGATACAACGCACACAGCCGCAAGAGTAGAACACATCATAAGACATAATATACACACAACATTAGAAACATAGGAAGAATGACCCCCATGTGGATGATCAATAACACACACGAATTTAAAATATGACATATGAGGTAATAGGTTTTAACAAGTTTTAAATACATAAACTTTATTATTATATAAGGACATATACAAATTTAATATTATTTGTAAATGGACATACAAAGGCATGCAGTGAAATGGTTGATGGATCGATACACCTGAAGATGGCAGCATTCTGCTGAAACATGTAGTGTAGAAGTGGTAAATGGGATTGTGTGCACTTGAAGACTGTTAATACACACACATCATGGACAAGACAGTGTTACATCCCAGAAGATAGGACTCTTTGTGTAATGATAGTGTTTGGGTTTCCTGAAATCAGAAAATATGTTGACAGGCTGAGTAACTATTACGTGTAGTTTCTCAAGAGAACCACCATGTCATTATCTTATCACACCTTCCTGATGTAGGAAAACTTGGATTTAGGAGTGAATGAATGGAGTGTAGCAAGGAAGGGCGTGTGACATTGCAAAATCCTGTTTTTATTAGAAACCAAATGTTCTATGCTCTAGTTGAGATTTTTTATATAATGTGTGACATCATCTAAGTTATAAAATAGCATGGTCAGGTGCAGTGATCAGAGCTAACTAACTCCATGGAGCCGAGTCCTTTATGAGAAGCCAGCAGTTTCTCAGCCACCCAAGAAATTCCCAGCATTTTATGAAACCTGAGTGTTCTGTACCATCTTCTCAAAAGCCCACCACTGGTCTCTGAACTGAGACAAATGAATCCAGCCCCCTCCTCCAATGCTGTTTCTTTAAGATAAGTTTTAATATTAGTGGTCACTTCAAGCAAGAAGTTAACAAAATCATGTGAACAGTGACATATCATTGTATAAAGAAATCATTTTTGTCATTTGCTGGATTCAAGGTTTTCATGGCAGTGACTATAAAGTATACAGTCTGCTCACTTCTAACACAATGTAATTTGGAGAGAACTTGACATTTTGGGGAAGCATGTCACCACATCTTCAGGGCCAAAGAGTATGCCAGGCTAAGCTAAGCTTCCCACCTGCTTAATCTCATTTCTCTGACTCTGAAAATGAAAGCGATATGCACCAGAACGTTGGGCTGCAACCCAGAAGACTTTACTTTGCATTTCTGTGATATGTTTCTCATCACAGATATACAAAGACAATACCAAGTACACATAATGAGAGAAGCAAATTATGATATTTTGTTTTGTTATTCTTTTCTACATAAGACCCTACAAAAGGGGGAGGGGGAGGGAGATAAAATAAACACTGTAGGTGGCAATTGGAAGCCAAGCATATACCTCAAGCAAATTTTGTGAAACAGCACCTTATCTAATATTGTCTGTGTATGTTGACTTTGACATGTCTGTGCTCCAGTGTTGTACTAAGCCTAGGAATTCAGAAGTCAGAACAAACAGATTAAGTTGTATTTGGCAATATATAATATCTTCAGATACAGGAATTCCAAATGGATATTTTGTCAAACTCTCATTTTTCTTTTCTTTTAGTGTGTTGGTTATGAGAGTCTCACAGTTGTGACTATGAAGAGTATGATCTTTTGGGTTTTAATGTGATGCAATTTTGTAGAAATCCGCCAAAATTTTAGAGGAGAATTGGTGTATGTGTGCTGAACTACCCAGAATGTCAACACCGAAAGTTATGCTCTTTTCTTTTCTTTTGTTAATTTGTGTGTCAGTCTGTTAGTTGATGGGCATAACATTGTTAAATTTTGGACAAAATTACAGTACATTTTGGAGTGATGTTTAAAAAAAATGAATTTCATACAGTTCATACTATTTAAGAACAGTAATGGATACAGGAAAGACACCACTGAGAAAACCAAGGTGTAGGTGGGAGTACAATATTAAAACGGATCTCAGAGAGGTAAGAGGGGATGCTCTTTTGATCATGGTATTGAACCTTCAGGTTCCATAAAATGCTGGAACTTCTTGAGTAGCTGCATAAATGGCAGCTTCTCAAGAAAGGCTCCACTCCGTGAGTGAGTGAGTGAGTGGATACAGTTACATTCAAAGACCAGTAGTGTGATTATATATATTCATCTTCTGGACAGAAGTGTGAAATGTTAAGCTGAAGAAAAGATATATAAAAGAGAATTTGAATTTAAATTCCTGTTTGTACTCGTATTATAATTTTAAATGAGTCAAAAAGTATAATTTTAATTTTACCTTTTGGATGGTACTAAAGTTATAACATATGCTGGTTTACTCTTACAGTTGCGTGTCTTCAAGCTTGCGAAGTCTTGGCCGACATTAAACTTGCTCATTTCCATCATGGGCAGAACAGTTGGTGCTTTGGGAAACTTAACCTTTGTGTTATGTATCATTATTTTCATCTTTGCTGTCATGGGCATGCAGCTGTTTGGAAAAAATTATGGTGGTAAGTAATACCATGACTGAGTAATTTATTGTTAAAGCCTGAGTACAGCTTTGTTGCAGTGTAATGCCTTTATATTGGGGGGGATCACTAAATAAATAGCATGGACCAAATTTGATTTTGAGTACACATATTATGAGGGATCAAACAAACATAGGTATTTCATATTCATGGTGATTCATAACACTAGAGGAGATCTACTTGAATTTATCAACAGACTAGAATAAAACCTGTTGAAATATTAATATGTCTGTCAGGATTATATTTATTTAATTTTCATTCAGTCTTATATATTATGGCTCTTCAGAGACACCTTGAAATCATTATTTCACTGAATATGCATGCCATGCACTTAAAATGTATGGAGAAAGATAGAGATAATAAACTTCATGCACCAGGCAGTGCTGCTGTCTAGAGGTATTCTTCGAATATTTTTATGATAAAGGTGTACATTAATACCTGAACAGTGCTGAAAACAAGAAGTAGCCGCTGCAGCACTATAGACATCGGGCGGGTACTCCTGAGAATTTTAAATTTTAAAATTTGAAAAAAAATTTAAAGAAATTTTTAAATTTGAATTGAAGAGTTTAAAAGTGCCAGTTTTTGAAAATCAAATTGACGTGTGTAGGGTAACAAAGATTTTGTACATATCTATAAAAGACCCACTCACTGTTCTGTGCGGCCCCTTTGTTTGGCACCACTTATATATCCGCCGTCACATTCGCCTACTCGTTTGGCGTCACTTTTTTACTCTGTAACCGCTCAGTGAGTCTTCTAGCCCCACAAGTTGGTCAGCACTTATAACTGTCCTTTTAGTGCCCTTACGTTGGTCTCCGCTTTCATCCGCCGCTTCCTTGTTGTTGTCTGGTTCAGGGTAGGGTGTGGGATTACTCTGAATTTGAATTTGTATGGGCGCCAGTGGACTTGGGTGAAATCCACAAATTTGGAACGGGGATAACAAAGGTGGGGATATGGATAGGCAGGCATTTGGGGTTCTGACTGCTCAGACGGTAGGACGAGATTCTGTCTCAGGGTGACTTCTGGGCCTTGCTCACACAAGGAGAGAGAGAACACTTAAAACTCACACTTCACCAACACTGTTGCTCTTTATTATAGACGTGAACTAGAATTACACATTACAAGGCTGTAGCACATAGAATTTGTGTACTGGACTCGACCAACATCGATTTAACATCTGGGAGGTTACTCCTGTTACTCACTAAGGTGACTGACTCCAGTTACTCCCTTTAGACTACTCACTCCTGTTGTTGTTACCTTTTGGCTACTCACTCCTGTTACTCCCTTTTGATGACTGACTCCTGTTATTCCCTTTTTGATGACTGACTCCAGTTACTCACTTTTCGTGACTGACTCCAGTTATTCCCTTTAGAAGATTCACTCCTGTTACTCCCGTTTGATGACTGACACCTGTTACTCCCTTTTGATGACTCACTCCTGTTACTCCCTTTTAGCCACTCACTCCTGTTATTCCCTTTTTGCGACTCACTCCTCTTATTTCCTTTTTGCGACTCACTCCTGTTACTCCCTTTTTGCTAGTCACGCCTGTTACTCCCTTTAGACAACTGACTGCTCTGGAGAGGCAGAAGTCCTGATGGTTCTGGGAATGCCCGGTTTCCTCTCCTCTGAAATTTTGCTGATTGGCTGAACCTAAAATTTGGGTGTTACTCTCACTGACATTCTGCCAATCCCTAACAAGATCCATGTTAATTTAGGCCTAAGTACAAGACGGTCCTTCTGACAGCTCTCAAATAAATGAAGGTAAGCTAACGATCGCTCGGTACACCTCTCTGAAAATTATTGCGACCGTATCTGTCAAGTCTCAAATTTTCAAAGACTCGCACCGTCGAAGGTAAGCATTGAAATTCCCAGAAAACGCAGCGGGATACTTCCTGCTCCATTCTGGGGGTTTCAAGTGACCTGCAGCTTGCTTGTCCCTCAGAAAGACCATATGTCGTCCTTGGCGTCTGCTGGTGATGGGGTCAATTCTGTATCATCTTGTGTTGACAGTAATACAGTTTGTTTATATGTAGTACCTTGTAATTAAGAATGTAAATCAACAACATTGCTGAGGTTCCTGCATGGTGTGGTTACACATCTGACAGATATCAGCGGGGAGGATTCTGATATATCGAAACCTGTTAGCAACGGAGAAGTGAACAATTGGGAAGACTAGTGTTTTTTAAATTTTAAACTACGTGCAGTGTAGCAGCTACGTGAGAGTATACACCTGATGATGGCCATTTACGGCCGAAACATATAGTGTAGAAGAAAGGAAGATGAATGAACTACAATAAATTGTTGCACTTAGGACAGAATTTGTGCATATATTGTGTAGAGTGTAACAGGATGCTTAAATATAATATTGTACATTAGAATACTGATTTACGCAAAGATTCCATTGAGATTTATTGTTGCCATCTTCTGCTCCTTATAATTGCTACAAAGTCTGCTGTAATATATGTAATAGAAGAGTAAGCCTTTAATAATCTGCAGTTACAAATGAAAACAAGAGAAAAGCAATTGAGAGTGTAATTTTGAAAACTGTTCATGGTAAATGTTCACTAGCACATAGGGAAGAGTTCCCATGTTCTATGTAATAGAACGTATCAAGTTAAAATATCCTAATACATTAAACGTGGTGATTTAAAAATAACGAAACTGGCTGGTCTGCAAGTGTCAAAACAAACTGTAATATAAATGGTATCAAATATGGATAATCTTCTTCTACACTGGTAATGAATAAATAGCATTGTATAAATTTGTTTTGTATTTTTTCATTATACAAACTGAAGATTATTATTTAAATGATGTAATAAGAAACATCCATTAAAGTTGTCAAAATTATTAGTTTTTTAATTTGAGATAGATAGTTAGTCTGTTTTTTCCTGAACATTCGCTTGTTGCATGTTGCCATATGTATTTATAAGACTTCAGAACTGTATTTAAATAATTTACACTTTATAATTATTGAATTCCATTTGACTTATTACCCCACATGGGCTGTGAAAACTGGACAGCCAGAAAAAATTCTGATCATGAAAAGTATTATATATCAAATGTTCTCTTTTATTTGCAGACAATGTGGAGCGTTTCCCAGGGAAAGAAATGCCAAGATGGAACTTCACAGATTTCATGCACTCTTTTATGATTGTATTCCGAGTGTTATGTGGCGAGTGGATTGAGTCCATGTGGGATTGTATGCTTGTTGCGGGTTGGTCCTGTATACCATTCTTCTTGGCTACTGTAGTGATTGGAAATTTGGTTGTAAGTGTCAGAGTTTCTGTGTTACATTGCCATGTCATATATTTTATGATAAATTTTGTTATTTAAGTAGCTTTAATGGTGAAAATGTACATGTTGCAGGTAAAGAATTTAATCCAGACATTTTGTACAGTTCCTTGGCATTGTGTGTAATGCTGGGTTGTCTTAGGCAAAGAGTGGAATTCATGGATTTTGAGTACTTATTTTAAACCTTGCTCATATTGTATATTCTTCAGAATACTAGACAGCTTTTGGTGAAGTCTTAATAGATCAAAAATGAAAGAGATTATTAAAAGAAAAGTCTGTTGGACTTGAAATAACATTATTAATAAAATAGGAAGTATGTGTGTTAGGACTGGTTGAAATTTTCAGGCCCAGATCACTTTACCACATTCCCAATGTCAAGTCAAGCATTGTACTGAATGTCTAAGCAATATATGAAACTGTAAGTATTTCACATTTTGCCTGACTTCTTTTTGACAGTCCACACAATTCCTAGGAATTGCATATTATGCCTGATTTCATACTTTGTCTGTAACAAATATTTAATACTTTAATCATTTCTTGCATCCTGTTGTGTGTTTAATCAATAGTAGAGTCACTTTACCAACTACACAACACGTTTTTTATTATCACTACATGTTTCGACCTCAAGAGGTCATCCTCAGGTGTACGAACACAGCTGTATAATTACACGCAGTCACATTTGCTTTTTATTCGACCCTATATCTTATCCAGACTTACGCTCANCCACAAACAAGTGAAAGTGCAACCTACATAATAAGTTTAACTTTAATTCACGAACTTTTAACCGATAATAATAATTAAACTGGTTAGGAAGAACTGGACACTGTGGTGAGTGTTAGTGGGATGAGACTGTAAAACAGGTATAAGTGAAAGTGTGACCAGTGACATGAATTGAACTTCGATTCACGAAATTTTAACTTTTAACAATTAAATTAGAATAATATTGTAACTTGTGTTTTATAAAAGAACTTGATATATTATTGAGCATAAGTCTGGATAAGATACAGGGTTGAATAAAAAGCGAATGTGACCACATGTAATTATACAGTCGTGTTCGTACACCTGAGGATGACCTCTTGAGGTCGAAACATGTAGTGATAATAAAAAACGTGTTGTGTAGTCGGTAAATTGACTCTACTATTAAATATTTAATACATTTAATTTAGGTGCCTATGAGACATTTTTAAGATATCATCTTTTAAGTTGATACTTTAATACCTTAGGTTTATAGATACCAGTTTCTGAGAGTGGAATCCTAGGTTCAAACTAGAAACACCTTATGTTTCAGAGTTGTTTCAAGGCCACATTTAGAGAAAATAAGATTCTCATGGTTTAGTTCATTTTTGGATGAATCCAGAGATCAGCCATAATATTTCTTTCAATCCTTACAACATTTGTAACCACCCCCTAATCTGTTCATGGTTCTGTGTGATTTTCGCAGATGACTGGGTGATGTGAAGCTTCACGACTATATCTGCCCTTCTTAACAGAAATTTAACTGTATTTAATTGTTATTCTTGTTGGTTTTCATCAACTTATATAAATCTGAAGCCCCAAAACATGGACATTTGCAATCATCTGAATGGACATGGTATCAGTTGCTCATATGCATTTGCAGGTATTGAATCTGTTCTTGGCCTTGCTGCTCAGCAACTTTGGTTCATCAAGTCTGTCAGCACCAACAGCAGACAACGAAACCAACAAGATTGCTGAGGCGTTCGATCGTTTTTCACGGTTCTTTAACTGGATTAAACGTAGCGCACTGAATGTGGCAAAAATGTTGCGCGCAAAATTAACCAATCAGATATCCGATCAGACGCCAGGTGAGGGACCCTCCTCCAGTTGGAAAGAAGGTTTATATCCAATCAGATCGCTTGTCCTTGTATGTGCGTGCGTGAATGTGCTGCTCATTGTTGGTTCACACTTTCATTAAATGTAGTTTTCACCCACTCACACAGGTTGATGGTTTTGGTTCTCTGTCACTTTGTTTTATATCATATTTCATACTTCTGACACAGCTAAGAAAAATATGAACACCACTAGCACTGAAACTGCATCTTGGTATCATACAACTGTCTGTACATTAGCTATTTATTTTATGCCTCTAAAATGGATCATCTTTTGTTATTACAATGTTAGCTTCTTTAGTGAACATGTGAAGAATGTACAGATATCCTTACCTATACCTCTATATATCAGTGCCTCTCAGCATGTGTTTTGTGATATATTTTTGTTATTTACCACTCTTGTCTCTCCTATCAACGTAGAAAAATACTTTAAAGTGAAAAGATATTATCTGTTAAACTGAGGACTACTCCTGCAGCCATAATGCTATTCACAATCCAGACAACTGCCAGACACTGACTTAGGGACACACATGAAGTACACATAACATTGGAAAGAATGGGGGTTGTACTGAAAGTCATGAGCAACAATTTTTTGTAAAGTAACATGCTTTATTAGTGACAAACCAAATACACCACCTCAATCTACAGACCTTTCTATATTTTTCCACATAATTGCCACTTCTTTGTACACATTTCTCCCAGCATTCTGGGAGTTTGAAAATTCCCCTTCTGTAAAAATCCATCCCAGCCATCCAAAGACACTAACTCACTGCTTTCTGAATTGCCTCCCTTGTCTCAAAACGTTGTCCACGCAGCTGATCCTTCACAAATCAGAAAAGATGGTAGTCGGAAGGTGCCAGATCAGGGCTATAGGAGGGGTGTGGAAGAACTTCCCACCCCATCTTTGCAATTGCTTCCAATGCGAGGTGAGTGGTTTGGGGGCATTGTCATACAGGATGATGATGTTTCGTCCCGGACATTTATCACACAATGCACGATGGAGCTTGTGCAGCATCTGGACATAATGAGCAGCATTGATGGTTTGCCCAGGTTCCAGGAATTTGGCCAGAATAAACCCCTCTGCATCCCAGAAGACTGTGCCCATTACCTTCACAGCTGATGGCACTGTCTTTGCCTTCTTTTTTGATGAAGAATGCAAATGGTGCCATTCCATACTGTGCCATTTCATTTCAGGCTCGAAATGGTGAAACCAGCTTTCGTCACCTGTCACAATACAGAACAAAAAGTCATCGCCTTCGTGTCGATATCTCTGCAGCAGTTCTGAGGTGATGGCTTTTCACTAACCTTTGTAGTCTTTCAGTCAATAACCGTGGGACCCAACGAGCACAAACTTTCCTATAGCCCAAGCTTTCAATCATCTCCTGTACTGCACTGTGCCCTATTCCAAGTTTTCGGGCTCTTGTGTCCACAGTCACACACCTGTCATCTTGAATGATGTCAGCAACTCTTTCCTTGTTGTGTTCAGTTGAGGCTGTTCGAGGACGACCGCTCCGAGGCTCATCTTCGATGCTGGTGTTCCCATCTTTAAAATGTTTCACCCATCTTCGAACACTGCTCGCACCCATGCACACACTTCCATAAGCACGCTGAAGTCTCTGGTGAATTTCTGCAGCAGTGATTTTCTCTTACAAAAGAAATTCGATAACAGCACACTGGTGAAACGACATATCATTGTCGGCCATTTTGTTAGGAGTGATACTGGTCACATGATGCAAACTATTGACTTCATAAGACACTCAAGGTTAACACAACAGCTGTTTCCACCTACCACCATACTCTCTTTCGTCTGCTGTTCCCAGGTTGCATGCAAAAGAAAGTTGCTCATGACTTTCGGTACGACCTACGTATTTCTAATTCTACACATTTTTTCCTTCTTCCTGGGGATCAATAGTGTGGGTTTCAACTTAACAGATCAACTATAGATCAGATCTATTGCATTCATCAACTACTTAGGCTGATTAAAATGTCCATGATTTATTTTATCCGTCTTCTAGTGCATACATTCATCTGCCCCTCTTCTCACTATCACTACATGTTTCGGCACAAATGTGCCATCTNCATGTGTTACAAAAGTATAGAAAGTTTGTATAGATAAACATTTGTCTGATAAATTTCCCATCCAGAATGGTCTAAAACAAGGAGATGCTTTAGCGTCACTTCTTTTCAAATTTGCTTTAGAATATGCCATTAGGAAGGTCCAGGAAAATCAGGTGCGACTGAAATTAAATGTTTGTCTATGCCGATGATGTGAATTTATTGGGTGATAAAATACGTAGGTATGAATGAATGTATGAGGGGTAGGCCTCATCAGCCCTTGCACCGCGACCTACAGTGATCTGTTGTGCTTAAATATACGTAGGTAATTCAATAAGTAAGTTACAAATGGATAAGGACTTAAACAAATAAGAGTACTGATTTGAAAAATGCTTTATTTCTCAACATAACCTCCCTGTACATTGAGGCACTTGTCCCATCGTTTCACAGGCCCATGAAAACCAGCAGCATAAAATTCTTTGGGCTGCTGTCAAAACCAGGCGTGTTCACATGGCATGGCCTACCTCATAATGCATGACAGGTTGCATGCTTCTGTTGAATGGCCTTACGAATTTTCCTGAGGATGTTACAGCAGGAGTCGGCATTTACGGTTTGTCCTTGAGGCTGGAATGCGGTGAGCAGTATGCCTTCATGATCCCAGAAGAGTGTGAGCATCACTTTCCTGGAGGATGGTGTCACCTTAAACTTTTTTTTGGCAGGTGACTCAGAATGTTTCCACTTCGTTGACACATGGTTTGTCTCAGGCTGGTAATAGTGAACCCAAGACTCATCACCTGTGACAGTTTGGGTTAGCATATTGTGTCCTTCATCGTGGTAGCGATTGAGATGATGTAATGCCAGACCCATTCTTTGCATTTTGTGATGTGGGGTCAGCATGCACAGAACCCATTATGCACAGACTTTGTGAAAACCTAACCTGTCATGCATTATGAGGTAGGCCATGCCGTGTGAACAATCCTGGTTCCCACAACAGCCCAAAGAATTTTATGCTGCTGATTTTCAGGGGCTTGTGAAACGATGGGACAAGTGCCTCAATGTACAGGGAGATTATGTTGAGAAATAAAAGCATTTTTCAAATCAGTACTCTAATTTGTTTAAGTTCTATATCCATTTGTAACTTACTTATTGACTTACCCTTGTAGATACCATAAAGAAAAACACACAAACTGTAATTGATGCAAGTAAGGAGGTTGGTCTAGAAGTAAACACAGAGCAAGCTAAGTATATGTTGCTGTCTCATCACCAAAATGCAGGGCAAAATCATGACATAAAGATAGGAAACAGATGTTTTGAAAATGTGGCACAGTTCAGATGTTTGGGAAATGACAATAACAAATCAAAACCTGATTGAGGAGGAAATTAAGAGGAGATTGAACTCGGGTAATGCTTGGTACCATAAAAAATAAAAAAAATTAGAATATACAAAATTATAATTTTGCCTGTGGTTCTGTATTGGTGTGAAACTTGGTCACTGATATTAAGGGAGGAACATAGACTGAGGGTGTTTGAGAACAGGGTGTTGAGGAGAATATTTGGACTGAAGAGAGATGAAGCGACAGGAGGTTGGAGAAAACTGCATAATGAGGAGCTTCATAACTTGTACTCTTCTCCAAGTGTAATTAGAATGATCAAGTCAAGGAGGACGAGGTGGGCAGAGCATGTAACATGAATGTGGGAGAAGAGGAATGCATATAGGATATTGGTGAGAAAGCCAGAAGGAAAGAGACCACTGGGAAAACCAAGGTGTAGGTGGGCGGACAATATTAAAATGGATCTTCGAGAGATAGAATGGAATGTTATGGATTGAATTGATCTGGCTCAGGATAGGGACTAGTGGAGGGCTCTTATGAACACAGTAATGAACTTTCGGGTTCCATAAAATGCGGGGAAATTCTTGAGTAGCTGCAGAATTGGCGGCTTCTCAAGAATGGCTCAGCTCCATGAGTAAGTAATGCTGAACTTCCCTGGGAAAACTGCTGTAGCACTCTTTTGAATATACACTGGACACAGTTGCTTGGACTGATTGTTACAGTTGAGTGGGTAGTACTCCTGTTTCATTTTAAAGAGTTCGTAGTTTCAAATTTCAGCCCAGAGACAGACTATCCTGACTGATACCATGATGATTATCCTCAGCCCCTCAGGCAAATTCTGGGATGGTACCTCATATTCGACCATGACCATTGCTTTCCATATGTTTTACAGCTATTCACTAATTACTCTATAATTAAACTGTATGTTGTTTGAGCCATTGACAGCATCATTAAATAAATAAAGAACTCATAGTTATACACCTTCATAGATTATAATTCACGCCATCCCTACAATGTAGTCTGTGTTAGGATTTGAATTCTGTGAGTGTGACGGACATGCATCATTTAAGTACACAGTGACAAAGAAGCCATTCAGAAACAAGCCAATAGCTTCAACATTAGCAGTAAGAACATCATGAAGGTTCCATTAAGAAAAGTAAGGAAGGAATTAAAAGACAATAAAAGACATATGACATACAGTGATGGTTTTATTATAAATTATTAAATTACTGGGCTCTGTATGGGGCATTAATGCTTATGATTTGACAAGCTCTCATTCTTTGTGGACATTTGGATGGAACGTAATTTTGCTTGGATGTACATATCTTGTAAAATTAATTTTTACTCATCCCTTGTTGCTTTCTGCTTCATTTTATACGCTGTCTGCTTTATGTTCAAGTCAAACTTTCACTGTCCTCAATAGTACTCTGATGGACATATATTTTAATTATCCACAATTTATGCCATTTCATTTTCTGTGTTGTAGATTGATACAGCCCGTATTTTCACCATTCTCTTGTAATTCACTTCCATTAGTAGTCCAACATATTACTTTTTTTTTTTAACAACACCTCACCATGTAGCTAAAAATAACTAATTTTAGTATGGTTATATTTTATACAAAGATATTCAAGTCAGTCCTGCAGCTTTCAGTAACCTACATATATATCAAATATGTTGTCATCATCATTGCATTTAGATATACAGTTGTTTAAACGTTCCTGCAAACTTTAGTTCAGTGGTGCAAATAATTCTCTTTAGTCACTTAAGACTTAATTTTAAATAAATGATGGTTAATCTGTGTTGTAATTGTGATTATTCTTTTGAATGTGACACTTTCTTGTGTACTATCTTCAAGATCATGGCATTTACTGTAAGTATTCTTGCTTTATATCCATTCACTTCAAATATTTGTCACTCCATCCCTGAATTATATACTTACTCCTTTGTTCCATGGTCACTTGAGGACATTTGCTTCCTTTACCCATGTATGTCCATTTTTTGTCTGACATCCATTGCTATGGTTCATAACATAAATTAGGTTCTGGGGCCAGATTGTTAACCTCGTGCCCATTCCCTTATCCAGGAGGACCCGAGATACTTTCATCTGGTCTCTACACTTCAATCTGTCCAGCATGGGTGACCATCTCCCTGTTAGTTTAGATGTTCATGTCACCAGGGTGTGAGTGTGTCACTAACATTGTGTTGAGGTAGCAACACAGGGGGAGTCCATTATTGAATACCATTGTGTAAAACTGATTCATTTGTTAACATGTATCTAAGTTGTCTAGGTGTATATTTTTATACATATTTTTAATAAAATTCCCTAGATATCTTTGCTGGTGAAAAACGTTTGCAAGACTGACTTGACAATGTTTGCAGTTTAGGGAAGTTAGATTAGGAAGTTGGTTTCCAGAATTTTGCAGCATTTTTTATTTCTGCAACATACAGTGACCTCTCTTATTTAAGTAAATATTTACACAAACATGGGTTGTTAACATACATTCAAAAGTTTGCATAAAAATAAATGAAGGCTCTTCACAGTCTTAGAAAATAATTAAGAGGAATGAATCCTTTTACACTGAAATGCAGTAAATTTAATTTTGGTTATTATTCACAGATATATTGCCATTTTCAACCTTCATAACCGAATTACATTTTTATTAAAACAGTTGCAGTTATTTTCTGGAAATAATCTTCACGTTTCTATGATAACTAAGGTGTCCTGATAGCCATGGTTAATTCTGTGTCTGGTTTTACAAATTCTAGTATGAGGCATGGGTTAGAGATATACAGTGAAATCAATACTTAATGAATCTCTGAGGGTGTGGCTTTCTTACACTAAATTTATGTTTTCACCAAGTGAGGGTTATTTAAAGTAACACTAAGAAAATCTTTATCTTCTTATGAGACTTATTGTATATAATTATGACAAATGAATATCTTTGCAAAAGCAGTTAAATAAATTGTTCATTCACAAATAAATACAATTACATAGTCATTAATATCAAATTATTTTGCTAGGTAATTATTGACATGTGAAATACACACTGAAAGAACTGAAGTCGATAATTGATGGAATTGTTACCAAAATCAGCAAGATGTCAGCGCTTATTCATTGTGACATCACCCACCTTGTATTATGGTTGTATGCAGATTATTTGTGGCAGTATTACAGCAGAGGTGCCTCCCCCCCTAAAAAAAGACAATATCTGCCCAATATATTGACAAGGTGCCATAAAAAGACAAATCTGATACAGAAAAACAGTATCCTAATAGTGAAAATAGAAAAACTATTAATCTCTGACAGAATTTGTAATGTTACCAAAATGAGGGGGAGATAATGCATAGGGAAACAGTGACAAGGAATTGACAAGGCAGGTCAAAATGAAGTGTGTAAGAATGTCAGGTTTCATTTGCAGATACATTACTGCTCAGCTTTCTTTTTGTATGATTGTCCTGTTAATATGTGTGACTAGTAAATTACATAATGTTTGCCTGTTTTTGCTTCATATATTAAGGATGAGAGAACTGTACATAGGTATGATTTATCAGTTGTATAATAAATTAAGTATCGAATGTGTTATTTCAAATTTGGATACAAAATTTCTCACACAAGTTGGCATTGAGCAAAATGACATGACATTAACCCTTTGATGAGTGAAAGTAATCTCTATAAAAGTTTGGCTCTAGCTTCCAAGAAAACAAGCCATATCTCTATTTGAGGTTAAGTTGGGTAATGACATTCAGAAAATTATCATTCTTTGTTCTTATAATGGAGCCACAGCTAAATGATATCAGGCCCAGCCTGCCTGTGATATAGCTATCCCCAAATCAGATGGAAATATGTCTCATTATCACACCTTCAGTTCAACACCAGATGTTGAAGAGTTCAGTTGCAAGCCTAGAGTGTTCACATACCATATGAGTCTGTTGTGCAGAATAGTTCTTATAAATAAAACATAAACTGGCAGCACTTCTGGCAAAGACATGATCATTGGCCAATGCCATTTCAAGGTGGAAACTACCGACATTATTGTCATCCAGCGATATTTTGAGCCAGACATTGCTCAGCATTGATATAAGAGGTCATTGACTCATAGCAGCCAATTGATACTAACGAATACGCTCTTTGGTTGAAATGTTGAATACTTTTAATGTTAAAGCAGTTGACATATATGGTTACCACTGCCTATTACAGCTCTAAGAAACATGGTATTAACCTTTGGAAATCTGGTCACCTTGACAGATTATTTAGTAGTATTTTATGAATTATAATTGAAGTATGGGCTTAGCTGCTATGGTGCTGAATGTTTGTAGCAGTAAGAAGTTAATTCACTAAAGAGTTAAAACTAATTTGAAAGATAAAAGCAGCAAATACTACACTTCAACTATTAAAATAGAAATGCATGTGATTATTCTACTTAATAGTATACTGAAGCTGCATCAAAAGGCCTATAAATTGATTCCCTTCCACCTCTGCCTCAAGCAGGTCTGCTTTCCCATTCATTGTACTTCCCTATATAGCATTTCCCTCGAGCTATGTAGCTGTTTTATTCTTCTAAATATTGACTTTTCTAGCAACAGTCAATTCATCAAACAGGTTTGTCTAAGGGTAAGTGGAGTCACTTGGTTAGAATCTCAGCTAGGACACTGGCTATCATGACTGAAGTTCCATGGTTTTCCTCAGTCCTTCAAGGCAAATGCCAAGATAGTACCTCAAGTAGGGCATGACCACTTCCTTCCTAATCCACCTCATCATTTATCTGCCATCATACCATCTGACACTGTATAGTCTTAGTGCTGAAAATGCATCATTAATCACCCTACAGAAGAAAAAAAAAACAAGCCCCTTGGCCTGGTTCACATAGACTAGAAAGGGGTAGAGAGGAATGTAACTGTAAGCAGAAAGGAGTAAGTTTCAAGTACTTTCATACTGAGTAATCATGGGAATTCTTTCTGCAGCCTCAGTATAGTATCATTCAAGAAATCTTCATCTTGCATAGATAAATTACAACAGTTTCACAAATTCAGCCTTTTAATATTGCGTTCTGTTAAATGTAAGTGTTCACATGAGTATGAGCACTAGAATATTCCATGCAACACGTTGAAGTTGGATGTTGATCATAGGATGATTGGGGGGTTGACATGGGGTGATATATGACTGCAGATGCCCATGAGCATGACACAGATCTTGACCTCACAGCGGATGAAATTCTGGCAGATGGGATGGTATATCGAGACAAGAAAAGTCCAAAAGAGCAGACACAGCTGGAAGTGGCAATAGGTGATGGCATGGAATTTACCATTCATGGTGAGTATTTAACATTACCATAATTTAGAGATGACCACATCTAATCATAATCAGTCGGCTTTTATTGCCTTTGAAAATTTTAGTTTAATTCCTTACATATTAAGTCATCCTTATTGAGGGCTTCCTTGTTCCCTGGAACCTGTGTAGGAATATGCTAGACTAGATTCCATAAAAATTTTGATCTTCTATTGGACTCATGAAATCAGATTTTGTTTCATTGTTAGACTGAGTCCAGTAATTTTGAAATTAAAACTAAATATTAAATTAATAAATTGAAATTGAAAATTAACCAAGTGTTATGTAATGTGTAGTTGAATGGACTTTAAATTAACCTGACATTTGTAAAATTACATAGTTACAGAAGACCATTCTCTTTGCTGTTTTGGAAGAGTTTTGATGTAGCATGACTTGGTTCATATCCTTTAAGTGTTCCAGATTTCTGGAACACCTGTAGATCAGTTATGGCTTTAGGTGAATGGCATTCGAAAGCCTACTTTGTTGGCCCCTTGCTAGAGCTACTTTTAAACCGAGAAATCCAACATTTTAGGTGTTCTTTGGTATCCTGTTTGTCAGAGGGCAAATTGTAGGCAATTTCCAAAACATAGTGACAAAGAAAATAAATCTAATGTGTGTTAAATAGATTTGGATTTTAATTATGTTGTTAATAATATAATAATTATTGATAGAATTATAATAATTATTTTTATGACTTTTCATATGCCTGCCAAATCAGTTTACCTTATGTTTGGAGATTCTAGTGTATAAGTTCCAAAACTGAATGTATTCTATCAGGTTTTAATGGTTCTGGTAAGTATTCTCTTTGAAAAATGCTAAGGTAATATTTTTACTACAGAGCTGATTTTTGAATGGTCTTGTTGTACCCAGTCCTGATTTGCAAGAAGAAGACTAATATGTAGAACTGTGTTTTATAAGCATTGATTTTTTATCCTTCTCAGAAGTGACTGACTTTCACTGTTCTGCTAATCCATATTTAAATATGTTGTTTCTATTTCCTGAAGGAGATTTGAAGAACAAATTGAAGAAGGATAGTAAACAACTAATGAATAACACCAAAGTGATTGGCAACTCATTTCAAGGCAACCACAAAGACAATCGGATAGAGAATGAATATTTACATAATCGGCAAGAGGAGGACACGTTAAGGTAATAAGATGTATGCAAATTAAAGTTAAATTTTTTTTATCATTCTTCAGCTTATGTTTTATCTTTTTATCTATGTTAATGTAAAATTTAAGTAATTCTTGTTTATTTACCTTATTAATGATGTATATACCTAACATATTATAATAAAGTATATTCTAATTGCTGCTGCCTAATTTTTTTTAATGCTAGTGGGGTGGGACTAAGTCCCTTGTACTGCAGCCACTTCTGGCCTATTGTACCAGCCCCAGATGATAGGTGAGGGTGACTGTGGAGCAATTGGTGGAATGAAGATTGGCAGGAGAAACCGAAGTACTCAGAGAAAACCTGCCCCAGAGCCACTTTGTCCACCACAAATCCCACTTGAGCAGACCTGGGATTGAACCCGGGCCACCGCGGTGGGAAGCCAGCGACTAACCGCTTGAGCTATGGCACGACCATAGCTGCTGCCTTACCTAACATATTGTAACATAGAGAAATGCAGGGGCAGCTAAATTAATTGGTGTGCTAGCATCAGAATATGATACAGATTATGTGTGCATTATGTTCTTAGTTTATTTCATTTGATTTTATACACAGTACGAATACATATGGAAGTCACAAAAACCGTCCATTCAAGGATGAAAGTCATAAAGGAAGTGTAGAGTCAATGGATGGGGAGGAGAAGAAGGATGCAAGCAAAGAAGACTTTGATCAAGATGGTGGTAAGTGCACTTTGTATATGAGATGCAGGTGTGTGTTTTGAAGAAGGTAAAATTTATTTATTTATTTAATGTATCTTCCAGAGATCTATGTACATAGATATAGAATCTGTCATCGTTTATACTATAAAACAAATTAATAAAAAGGTATTTAATCATACAATATAAATCCAACTTGATATCACAAAGTATAAAACATACATATGCATCTATGATAGGCCACACATAATGTATCACTGACTATGCAAGGTAACACTATAATAAAATTATTGATCATACAGTGTAAATCCGACTGTACATCCATTTCACAATAACAATCCTGTATGTACAAAATATAAAACCTGCACATACATCTACAATAGGCCACAAATAATACACGTGTATCACTCTTATCATCATAATACGTGTTACATGGCTTAATTATAAAATTTTATTGTTTTAATCTTATTTCTAGTCATGTTTCAGTTAAGAAAATTCTTCAGTGTCATAAAAGAAATTCTGTAATAAAAATGTTTCCAACTTAGATTTAAAACTCTTTGTGTCATTAAACATAGACTTAATTTCGGTTGGCAGATGGTTGAAGATCTTTGCTCCCATATAAAATATTCCTTTTTGGAATAATGTTAAGTTAGTTTGGGGGTAGTACTGATCATAAATAGATCTGGTATTAAATTTATGTACTTGGGAGTTAAATTTAAATAATTCCCCATTTGTTATGATAAACATAGAGATTGATAAGATATACTGTGCTGGTAAGGAAAGGATACCCAGTTCTCTAAATGAACTATGACATGAGGCTCTCTTTGCTGAATGCATCATAATTCTGATTATCCATTTTTGTATCCTGAATATTCATATGCTGTATGAGGAATTGCCCTAATCCTAATGCTATCCATAATTTGTTTTCAAGAGAAGCTGTACATCCTTTTGTTTCATATCTCCTTGGTAACTTCACAGTTTAGAGCCACATAGTCAGTTTGAAATTCCTAAGCATAGTAGGACAAGTTTCATTTGGCTAACATCCTTGGATTCAAGTAAGGAGTTTTCACAACAGAGTATAGTTAGTACAACGGATTGTGCTGAGGCACAATGAAGGAAAGAAGACAGTTCTATCCCAGGCATTCTGTTTATTTTGAAACACAACATAAGATAGGAAATTTAAGGTTTCCACAGGGGTGAATATTTGAGTCATAGTCTTCTGGGTTGTGCAATACTCATATGCATCTCAATGACAGTAAAATATTATTATTATTTGTCAGGTGTTGATCTTTCCAGAAATAATCCCAGTTCAAATTTATTTTTCTGTACTTAGCATCAAAAACCCCAAGTAGTTACATTTATAATTTTCTTCCTACTCCCTCACCTCCTCCTTTCCCTAACTCCTGGGTGTTACGATTTGATGAGAAATAAATGATGCCCTGACTTGCAGATTGTGCAGTTAGGGTCTCAGAGACTTAATGAGCATTTGGAAAATAAATAAATGTTTTGTACAACATAATAGAAGGCATAGAATTTTATTAAATGTGCTGATTATACCACCTTGAAAGATTGGACAGAAGTTGCTTACCCAAACTAGCTTCTGAATATAAATGTTGGAGATGATGGGAAGCTGGAAGACTCAGGAAAGGATTGAAAGATCAAGAACACCTTGAGTTTTAAAGGAATAGCTATTAAGACTTAACCTTGTTTATGTTCACGAATAAGTAGATAAATGTTTTGATTCAGATCTTGAGGAAGATGGCGAAGGAGAAGAAGGAAACTTAGGTGAAGCCATCATCCTGGATGCAGGCACGGAGGACGTAATGTTGTCTGACTACCCTGCAGACTGTTGCCCTGATAAATGCTATAAACGCTTCCCCTTCTTGGCTGGAGATGATGATTCTCCATATTGGCAAGGGTGGGCTAACCTCAGACAAAAGACTTATCAGCTCATTGAGAACAAGTACTTTGAGACAGCTGTAATCACCATGATTCTGCTTAGTAGTCTTGCACTGGTAAGCTGTCACATTGGTATGGCATTACATTCACTTGTGGTGAAATCCTGATTTAGCATTCTAGTGTGCTTGCATTTAGTTTATATTTTTTTCTGGTTCCAACTGAAGCCTAATGTAAACAATGTATTATTTTATTTTCTGTATCAAAGAGTTAATAAGAAAGTGAAAACAGATTTTTGCAGTGGAACCTGATGATACAGGGAAATATGCTGGTCTTTCACGCACAAGGTCTGAGGTTCAAAACCTTCTGGATCCAGTGCAAATTTTGTGGCATATTTCCCCCTTCCCTTTATTTTATGTCTGTGAGAAATACCAGGCCACTCCATGGTTCATATTCTGCATTAATTTTAGGTCTCCTCTGCCACTTATCATCTTCTTCACTATAACAAGGGATGCATTTGTAGCTCAACCCACTAAGTGCTCTCACATAAAATTTGGGTTCCTCTGTTCACCCAGTCCACTTGCAGAGAAGCAAGGATGTTCGGAGACTGCACCTGGGGACTTGTGCCACAAATATGCATAGATTTTTGCTGTCTGCTGAATTATTCTGATTGAAGTCATTCTCTGAATTACAGATAAAATTGGAAAGTTTTGTTTCATTAACCCTTTCATACAATAGTTATCTTGTTTGTAAGAACACTTGTATTTTGGTACATAATATGTCTTATATGTTACTTTATATATTAAATATTTTATTCCAGAATTTGGCTTCCAAGTACAATTATATTTCCTTTATAGCCTTGTGTTTTTTCTGAACCAGCTTCTTTGTTGAATTCTACAAGAATTTCTGTGCAGTAGACAGCTATAACCCTTCTTCTTCCACTCTCATGGATTAGGCTTGCTGATCCAACACTTTATGGATATTTGGCAGGATTACTTTGATGGGATATCAGTCCATTGCAAGGCATATGCTCGTGAAGAGCAGCACAATGCAGTAGAATGTGTGTACACATCCTTGTCTCAAGAATAATTCTGATTTGCAGTCAGTGTTAAATACAAGTAGTTCAGAACTTCAAAAAAGCAACATTTGTTTATGTTAAAGCTTGTGGTACATGTTGTAAGGGCTGTGCTTGAAAGGGTTAAGTTGTTCATAAGAAATGTAGACATACAGAAATGTAATGTGCCAGAGGAATTTAAACTTTGAATACATCACTTGCTTCACGTAGTCTTGAAGTATCTTCTGATCAGGACATTGTCAGAATTATGATGTTTTATTTAGTAACCCTGTACTAATTATAAAAATTGACAATACTTATCACATTTTCTTGGTTATTTATTTAATTTTTGATCTCATGGAATTATGTGACTTTATTTAATTTAGTTTAACAACCATACATTTCAGGCTCTTGAAGATGTACATCTTCCTCAGCGACCCATTCTACAAGACATCTTGTATTACATGGATCGCATCTTCACTGTCGTCTTCTTCATTGAAATGCTAATCAAGTGGCTTGCCCTAGGATTCAAAAAGTACTTCACGAATGCATGGTGCTGGTTGGATTTTGTCATTGTCATGGTGAGTCCACTCTCGCTTGATGTTCATTTCCTGAGGGTGGTGTTTTTGGAACACTCCTATATCATAAATATTTTAAAAAATAAATAATTTTGAACAGTAATTAAATTGTTTACTTTCCAGATATTCCAATTAATAATTTATTTTAAAAACTGAAAGCTAAACTTCACACTTTAAATTATTAGAACTTGAGTGTTAACTTGTTATTTATAAAATCACATGAGAGATTTATTTTTATGATTGTATTATAAGAAATACTCCCATTTTCAGTCATTTTGCATATATCTCTATTTTTGATGATAATTTTTAGTCTGTCATGGTGACAATGAAAGCCTTAATTTCTGAACTTCAGAATATATAGCATTAGAGTCAGTTTGTTGGAAATTACATATGTTGCATAAAGAAATTAATTTGTTCCAAATTGGAAACATACGAGTTCCATAGGACTAATTGTCCATGAAGGCCTATAGCTTCGTTCACTTTGTGAAATTCTTGATTGATGTGTCAGCTTTCAGGAGCAGTTCTGTTGATATCTGTGTGTTGGGGCCTTTGCTGTAGTAACTACTTCTTAATTCCATCCTTTAATTTAAAATTTCATAAATGTGATCAGTTTATTTAACAATAAAGGGTTTAGTAATCATCTTATTATGTGGTGTAATTGTACCAAAATTCATTTTAAACACAGACTTCATGATCATCATGTAATACATCAAATTGTACTATAAATTCCTGGCTATTTTAATTGAATTCTTTGGCTGTCTGCAGTATTATCTGTAGCATATTTCTTGTAAGTTATATACCATAATTTTCATTAATAATGAAGTATATAAAAACTGATTAATTTTATTATTCATGATGACTTGAATGTCATTTATAAATTTGATTATAAATTCTTCTAAGACTGTAATTTTGTTTAAAAATATCTCTTTATGTGCATACAAATTGGAATAAAATCTTAAAATAACATTTTATATAAAACATGGCACATTATAGGTAAACCATGGGCAATGCTTTTACATTATTTACACCATAATGAATCTTCAGCTTCCATAAAAATTGGAGAAATTCTAACTAGCTGAGGAACTGCTAGCTTGCAAGAAGAATTTTGCTCCTTGACAATAATTACTTGGGTTTAGATGTATGGAGGTAGAATTCTTAGCAAAACTCTTCCTATATACCAGTATACATTTTTTGATGAAGTTGGTGTATAGTGTTGAAACTGTCCTATATGAAGAATGAACTGTCTTCGCTCACTTGGAAACCAGGATCGTGGGTTCGAATCCCACTCAGGGCATGGATGTTTGGTTTGTGTGCCTTGCGAGAAGCTGATCACCCACCCAAGGAGTCCTACCAAATGTGTAAGATCTAGAAAAACCGAAGTGAACGGAGAAGTTCATGGAGGTAGGCCTAGGCCCACTGGGACTGTAGTGCCAAGGAAAAAAAAAAATATGTAGAATGAGGGTTTGAATCATGAATTATAATTCATCTTACACTGTACTCTTCAGTTATTCATACAGTACTCTCAAACTAGTGTAATCCAAATTGGAATAGCAGGATGGCAGATAATTGGTATAATTACAGCATCTTCCAATAGCAGTGGGACAATAAAAAATTTTATTTTTCCTGCAGATTGTTTAACGGTGCTATCAGTAGCTGGACAGTGTAGCATATTATTATTAAATATAAATTTCTATTCCTTAGTCTACTGATTCAATAAAACAGACCAACCCTGGTTGTCAGGATCATTAGAGGGAGAGGTATGGTGCTTGTTACCTTAATTTAAATCCTGCCTGGACATAATCATCACATTACATTATCACTTCCTCATCATACAATTACAATAGTCATGTTGGGGCAAAGACTGCAGGAACTAAGTGAGGAACAAATCAAACCCTGTGTTCCACAGTGTTTATATTACCTACATTAAATAATGTGAAACTAACTGGAAATTTCTAATGTAAGACAGAGCACAGGATTGAAGCAGGAAGGAATGATACAACAAGAGGAAGTAATGCAGCACTCTGTTCCAGAACTGAATCATCAAATGAGAATGTGTCCAGAGAGCATACACAACAAATTCAATACTTTATTGCAAGATCAATGTTACTACTCTTTTAGCTGTTTTGACATGAAGTGCCCTTGATAAGGCAAACTTTCCACTCTATATCTAAAATTATCGCATGAGATATTTACTTCTAAATTGTTTCCGTAGCATGTATTCTGTGTTTGAAATCTGTTTTTTGAGTTTTTCCTTGTTGTTTTAAATTTTGTTAGTATTTGCAGAAAAGTGTTGTTATATAGGTACGTTTATTTGTAATTGTGTGTTTAATTGTCCTTGTAATATTTCAGGGTGAAGGAATTTTTTTATCTCTGGAGATAACTGAAATGAGAAATAATATTGGACACCCAGACTAATGCATCATATTTGGAAACTGCATTCCAGTTCAACAATTCCAACAGCCTTAAAATGTACATATAATTATTGAAATTGGCCCCAGTACACCTTAGGGTGTGCTTTGTTAGACTCGCTCTGATATTCCGACAATCATGTTCCAGTCTAACATTAGACTTGAGTTCAATAATTTTCAATATCAGAATCAGGTAGACGGGTTGAGTGTTGTGTGCCAAAGTATGTGGTCCTGAGAAGGAACTAATTTCCTGTGTGCATATGGAGGGCAAGAACGTCTGTCTATGTAAGAGATGAAAATAGACAGATGTCAGCTGACCATTTCTGCAAATAATATCAAATGAAAGACTACTAATTTCATTTTAAATCCAACAGGCAGCATGGTGTCTTATCATGTGTTTGTTGTATTTGTTGTAATTAGTCTCTCATATAATTAGTTTTTTATTTCAGAAATTTTCTTTTGCTAGATTATGTCCTAATAGATTTTAAGTAGAATGGATATGTGGTAAAGTTGTAGAAGAAACTGCATTGAATACAACATTTGTAGCAGGGTCCAAAGAAGTTGATCATATGTTTCTTCTTTGACAAAAATGAAGTATTGAAGTGTGGTATATGTTCTCTTTATTCGATCACAATTTTGTCCTTTTATATGCATTTATATTTTCTGACTGGTAGAAACATTAGAAATCTCTTCTAAATATGTCTGTCTTTAGGGAATCTCATGTTCATTTCTTTATTCAAAATTGATTAATACTGACTGTAATTATGATGTTAATGTATTTATTGTTATGTGTGTGTCCTAATTGTTTCATCAGGTTCCAAATAGAAGCTGAAGTCCAACTGTGAAGTTGCTGTTTTTATATAATATCAGGCAGGAACTGAGTCTGTAATATTAATTTATACTTGGTATAAGTGCTGAAAAGTATCACATTTCATAGAACTTCCTTGTAATGACATGATTGCATTTTGATTCAGTAGTATTAATGGACGCATGCCATGGAAATGTAATGAAAATTATTACATTTTAGTCTGAGAAAGGAAATCAAATATCTGGCAGTATGATAATTATGTGGTACTAAAATGCAGCAGTATGTCATGCAACACAGTTCTATAGTAGGATGATACATTTAAAAGACCCTCATATCACACACTTTTTTATTTATTTATATTGATTTAACCTTTAATATATGACATCTAAATGTAGTTTATGATAAAATGATGTACTACATGACAACAAAAATTAACTGTAATCACTACTCACTTAGCTTTTGTAACTGATTCTTGCAGTGTCTGTGTTATTTGGAATAATGATGAATGAAAACAAATTAATAATAGGAATTGAGATAAATTAATATAATTTGTTTCTGTGGTTCTCCACCAGAACTCTAGCTGTAAACTCACTTGATTGAACATTTAAATATATTTAAATATTTTAACACTCCGCACTTTTGAAACATTGTGTAAAGTTACAAAATATATTGTTTCCAATGATGTATGTAGTAAAGACATTTTCTTGAGCTCCAGGCATTGTACATACAGTAGAGGTGACTGCTAGGACATAGGATATAATTTTGCAAGAAACTGTTAAGTGAATAGTGCTAAGTCATTATATTTGATATTCCTAAAATTTTTCTAATTTTTGTTAGTGGCTATTTCATTTATTTCTATGGCTTCAGATTACCAGTTCTCATTATATTTTTGAGGTGGATATTTCTGAATCTGTTATACTTTCACATTACAGAAGTTCCTTACCTACTACATTTATGTGTATGTCAAGTCGTAATGGAAGGGAGGCTTGTTCTTTGCAGTAACTGAGAAATGGTGCATCAAATGTTGACTGCTGCATTAACCAGTCATATTTTTGTATGCCTAATATCACTTTTCCATGGTGTAGCTGTCTCTGATTAACCTTACGGCTGTTTGGACCGGTGCAGCCGATATTCCCGCGTTCCGCTCCATGCGGACCCTTCGTGCACTGAGACCCTTGCGTGCAGTCTCACGCTGGGAGGGCATGCGAGTAAGTAGAGAGACGAGGTCGCATGAAGCAGACCTCGCTCTTAGGGAGGGTAAGGGTGGGGTGGAGCTCAATACACCCAATGGAAAAATGACAAGTAAGTTGTATGAAATATTTTTTAAAAATTGTAACTCTGATGAGGTTAAAGCACTTACCAGCTAAAGGCTTCTGTTATACAAACAGTTATTTAAGTATTAATTGTATTGTTCAAGTTCACAATAATAATTTATGGCACAGCAAGAACTGGCAGTGTCATTTCATGTTTCCCGTTTGTACTCACAATCTTTGAGGTCTCATTTAAATGTAATTCTTGCTATGATTCCAGTAAGAAAATATGAAAGAAATCTTGTTTAAAAAATTTTTTATTTTAATTATTGTTCACGGCAGATCATGTGCTTTTGAGCAGTGTGGATGCTCTGATTTTTCTTAGCTCTAAAATCTCTTTTCTGCAGCAAACTTGTCAGCTAGTGACACATATTTGCGTCTGTACCTGACAAAATCCATTGTGCTGCTCTACTGTTAATTTATGCACCCTCTGCTGGTAAGTAGCCATTCTATTTATTTCCCGCCTTCCATGTATCAAATATATAAGAAATTGCAGTCACTCAAATGGCTGCCCACTTACTTGATTTTTCCTGGGTGACAGTAACAATAATTAAGGAATTGTGATCCTTCTCCCTGAGGCTAACTTGGGTCACCTCTTTTTCTCAGTCTGACTCTTTGTCTGTGTAGAGCTATCTCTGTCTCCTCTCCATCCCAAGCTCTCATTCTCCTTGCTCATTCGTCGTTGGAGTCGTCGATGTTGTGACTGCACATTTCTTCACTGTCTGACTTGTTTAACTATCTAAAATACTTTTGTCGTTTCCTATTGCCGCCGAGAAATAAACCGTTATGGAAAACGCTTTCCATGTACAGTATCTATGTGTGTTTGGAGTGTGGATGTGTGACCATGTACATCTGTCTGTTTCAGGTATTGGCTCTCCTTCTACAATACACTGTGCAATATATGTATGTGTGCAGTATTCTTGTTGTTGTTTGATAGATGTGTTCATGGGATTCTTTAGAAGTTGTCCGATAGTAGTAGTGTAGTGGGAACAGGGTCCATGCTTGAATTCTGCTGGAGATGTGAAAATGTGGTACCAGGGCATATGTATGAGTCTCTTTTAAGTATAGCTCACTCATTATTCGGTGTTCTAAATAATTCCAAAGTAAATTATAACTAAAGCATTCAGGTGCTTTCCACTCTAGTTTGTACCACAGTCTCAGTTATAACCTGGATTGCAATTCTCTAGTCCTGGTTTAATCTGTAAATAATCTGGATAATTTGGTGAAAATATGAAGTGTCAAGGTTGAACAAAAAAGTTCATTAAACATTGTGACACCGTGAGTATAATGAAAATCTGTTCAAATGAAATTATTGTGAAATGTATCATGTTTTCTTTAAGAATAACTGCCATATGAAGGGTTGCAAGGACATTTCCAGTTCAGTGCCCTGAATGAATCAAGAGGAATTATAAGAATATATGCAAACATTGACTGATTTTTAAAATAATTGTAGATGCTGTCTGGTTAAGACATAATTAACTTAAACATTAATGTGGCAATTGAATAGTGATTTTTTCACGTATGAAAATTCAAGCACAGAATTAAATCTTATGCAGAATACAATAATGGACACCATTTTAAGTGATGCCACACTTAACTTATCATATGGATGTAACTCCCGTAGCTTTGTGCATAACTCTCATGTTGGTTGTTGAAAATGTAAAAAAGTACCAGTCATTGTGCTTCTCCTGCTTTCTCCTTATTTTTGAAGATGCATCATTGTGTTTGCTACGGGATGAACTCCACAAGCGTGACATCATCTTTAACACATGGGGGATGATTGGATAAATCCTTCGTATAGGTCAACAAGTTTTCCTGCCGTGATGGTGGTAGTGGATGTTGTGTTTGTGATTTGCTGCTTTTTTTCCCTTCATTTCTGTCTCAACTGTACATCTATTTACTTCAGGTCTCCCTCATAAACTTCGTAGCATCCTTGGCTGGGGCAGGAGGCATTCAAGCCTTCAAAACAATGCGGACCCTCAGGGCTCTTAGGCCTCTTAGAGCTATGTCTAGAATGCAGGGGATGAGGGTACGTACCCAGCAGTCTCAGGGGACTTTGAAGGAGCACCATGACCTCACTTAGAGAATGCTTATAGGAGGTCATGTTAGAATAGATCCTTTACGTTTTTACCTGTTGTTGCATTATTATTTTTATTTGAAGTAATTTCATGAATTAGTGATTTATTTTATGTGAGATATAGCTTTCATGAAATAAAATTCTTTTATTTTTATATGTGAACGTTTACATGTCAGAAGTGGCATCTCTTTCATTATGATATGACTAACAGCTGCTGACACACAAAATCAGGCATCAGCAATTCCCACTGTGTTTTATTATACTCTAGAAACCTGTGATATTTTGTTCATCATTGTATATCTCATATGCAGTTTTATTTAAAAATAAGAATTTAGTTTTATGTATACACTTTTTATTTTTTTCATAAAAGTTTGTAGTTACTAATGTCTCCTTCAGAAATTCTGCAAATTAAGCAAGTAGATGGAAGTTACAAATGGAGAAAACTTAGACAGATACATTCTTACCCCAAGCAATTGGATAGCTGATCTAAGTAATTTACATATAATTGGGACGTGGATATCACTAATATTGCCAACTGCCCTTCAATCACTGCATGATTATAGTAGAAAATAGTGAATCTGTGAAATGAAATTGTCTCTTCCAAGTTCAGGTGAGCATATATATTTTTTTCTTTTGTAGATATTACTTGCTCTTACTAACTTGGTGGTGAAATGTAGATTCTTAAGTGCCTGTGTTGAAGGTCACCAATTCAGGAGATGGTCACATTTTAGGAAGATTTGTTTGTTAATTTTAGATCTTCACTTCTGATAAAACGAAAATTTTGTGGGAGGAGGGAATAACAGACATCTATCATGATGTGGAGTCTTATTATGCTGTTGGTTCAACCTGTCATCCATCATTTGAATTTGTTATCATCATAATCTTTATAATCTAGAAGTAACAGAGTTTCCCTCTTTGGTGCTCCCAGTTAGTAGACAGTAAATACCAACATTACCATACACAAAATATAAATGATTTTCAAACCAAGTGCTTTGAGCCTTGTTCAACAACATTAGTTGTTAATAACAGCTATTCAGATATGGTAAACAGGACTATTTTTAACACAGAAAAGCATCAGTATTCTTTTTAAAATGGTAAAAATGATTTTCATTATGTTTTTTAAATGTATGTCATTATAATCAACCTCTTTCTCTGTACCTCTTTCTTGAGATGTGTTGCCATTTTTTTAGGCATGTTCACAAATTTTCAGAGCACCAATTAAATTCACAATGTCTGTTCATCTGTAAAAGGTGAACCAAGTTGAGAACTACTGAATGGATTGTTGTGAAATTTGATATTAGGTAGTTTAATATCATTATCGATATATACAAATTTTGATTACAATGATGGGAAAATAGCAGACATCTTAAACGAAGAACTACATGTGCTTCTATGTGTGTTACTAAATATTCATCAGAGAGAATAATGTTCAGAACAGAAGTTGTAGGGAAGCATGAAACTCACATTTTATTTTCTGTACACTTTTGACTAAGTGCCTCAGCTTTCTAGATAATTAAAATTAATTATTTCATAACCTGCATATTTGGTGTCCAGTAGTGATTTTCTGAACACATGTGAAGATAGAGTCTTTTATTCTTCATAATAATTAAACAAAGTTTTCTCCCACCTGAATTTAACAGACTACATATATACAGATATACTATATTACATTAAAATATAACTGGCTTTGCTGCAGTCTCTTATTTTCTGTCATAATTGGTTATTCTATAAAAGTGTTTAATTTTTTCGAGTGAAAGGTCACAAACAATCGTGTTGTTTGTGTATAGTTCTCATGTTTTCCCTGTAATATGTTTGTTGTGCAAAAGGTTGAAACACATTTGCAATACTTTTATCAGGGAAGTCCGATACTTCTAGATATTTGATTTAAAAATCCTGATTCATACACACAGAATACATTTATCAGTGTATCTGCACTAAATCATGGGATTTATGCTGTGCATAAGAGAGCATCAAAGTAAGCGTTAACAAATTCAAAGTGGAGGCAACAGAGTGAACATGCTTGAACTTTTGCACTTCTCAACTTGTTAAATGTATTAAATACATGATGATGGAATGTGCAATATTGAAACTAATCTTGTTGTGTATGCAGGATTTTCATTTGGGTTAGAATAGGAGAAGAAATCATTAATTGAGTATTTCCTAAATTACAGATTTTGACATTGGAGTTCCATTTCTGAAGTCATTGTTAATTCAGTAGCACACCATTTATTAAGTGAGATACTACTTTGTGCAATATGCAGGGTACATCATAAATTCACAACTGAAACATACTTTTGGTTTTAGCACTTTGAGGCCCTAATTCTTTACATTCAGTGACCAGAAGTAATAATGAGTTTGGGATCTCACAGCATTATAAAGATATAGTCTTGTGGGAGTGATGCCATGTAGTTTGGTAGATGGATACCAACATTTTGAAGGTACCTGCTGTCTGCATTTTCAAGGCTGAAGTTTTCCATCTGAAAAAGGGGGGGAAAGGATTCCTCCAGAACGTTGTTGTCAGCCTTACATGCCTGCCACCCTTTACCCCCCCCCCAGGAAGATTCCTTATACTCATTTCTGTTAGAGGCTGAGTTGACTCCAGAGCCATAGTGCAGCTGGAAGGATTAGGTAAATTGAAAAAGTTCACCTCATCGGGACTTGAATCCATGACATTCCAGCTTGCAGCATAGTGCCTCAACCAACTACAATACTGCATGCCCCTGATACTCAAATAACCATATTGATATTCTAAAATCATCTTCCTTCTATGACAGAAACACAAATGTATTGGAAACTGGTCAATACATCACATTTCACTTTT